AAGGGGCTCTTATAAGCAAGGAAAAGGGGCACATGTGAAAATAAAAGGTGCGCTTATCGGAGTCAAAAAGGGGTAGTTATTATAAAGGGAAGGGGCACTTCTTATAAAGGAAAAGGGGCACTTGTCAAAGTAAAAGGGATACTTTTCATAAATCAAATGGGCTAATTATCGGAGGTGAAGAGGCACTTATCAAAATTGAAAGGAGGAACTTCTCATACCTGAAAAGGGGCACTTACTAAAGATTAAAAAGGGCAGTTTTGAAAATGAAAAGTGGACACTTATTGCAAAGGAAAATGGGAACTTGTCGAAGGAAAAAGGTCACGTGTCAAAATAAACGGGGCACTTATTATAGTCGAACAGTTATAGGGGCACTTTTTCTATGTAAAAAAGGGCACTTTTGGGGACCTTGAAAAAGAGGACACTGTGCCCCCCTCCCCGGATAGCCGCCTCTGCACAAACCCCAAAACAAAGTCCCAACTCCCAACAATTAAACTTTGAAAAGTGTGATTCCGACGATTGGCTCAGAAAGAAAGCCCAGCACATACAACATTCCAAAAGCTCCCATTGTATCAGTGTGATTTTTACATGTTTTAGGGAAAAGGTGCACAGAGTTGGTATTTAGGGAAATTTCAGATATGAAAGGTGTTAGTATTGGGGGTGTAAATTTACGTTATGCTGATGACACTGTACTTTGCGCAGAGGATGAAGCAGATTTTACAACATGTATTGGATATTGTAAAAGTCAAAAGTGAAGAGTTTGGTCTAAGCATGAATGTCAAGAAAAGTAAGTCAATGATTTTTAGTAGAACAGAGAATAAGCCTAGAATATGTTTGAAACTCGATGGACATATCATTGAGCAAGTCAGTAATTACATCTACTTAGGACAAAACATCACAGATGATGCCAGATGCGAAGCAGAAATAAAAAGAAGAATAGAAATTGCTCGGAATACATTTCTGGCAATGAAAGGATTATTCACAAATAGAAAGGTGAAATTTGCGCTTGGGCTGAGACTAATAAACTGTTATGTATGGTCTGTCCTATTGTATGGAGCAGAAACATGGACAATAAACAAGGCCATGGAAAATAGAATAACGTCTTTTGAAATGTGGATCTATAGAAGAATCATGAAAATATCCTGGAAACGAATGAAAACCAACAAAGAGATATTGCACATGGTAGGGCGTAAACAAATTGCACTAGTAGGATTAGTTAAGGAGAGAAAAATCAAATACTTTGGTCACGTTAAAAGGCACCAAAGCCTCTTAAAGGATGTATTGGAAGGAAGAGTGGAAGGAAGTAGACCTAGAGGGAGACCCAGAATCAACTGGGAAGAGAATGTCAAGAACTGGAGTGGACTAAAACTGCAAGAGTGCACCAGACTGGCAGAAGATGTAGAGAGTGAAATGGAGAGCTGTTGCAATCAACCTCCGAACCGGGAGAAGATACTGAGATAGATAGATAGTGAAAAGGGCACTTCTCTGATATTCATCGTTCATATTCAGGATCCTAAATCAGTGTATTGAAGTAGATCTACATGTAACTGTAATTCAATCTTCAAATACTACATGACATGATAATTTGTTGGCATAGATACTAGATAGCAAGGGCAAGGTTTGAAAAATCGGTCAGGACCAGTTTCTAAAGATTGCTGATGCAATGATGACAATTGTTTGCAATTGCACACACCCTTCTCTTGAAATGAGTGAGAAAAACCTCCACGTTTATCAACCTGTTATTGTATTCGAAGGCTCTACCAATACAACGAATCTGAACAATATTGATGGTCATATATATATTCTCGGAAAAAAATTGATTTAGGAATGCAGCTGTTGTGGTATGCTCTATGAAGTTTGAGATGACGTGCACTCAACTATAATTCGTTGGTTGCCCGGTAAAAGGTTGCGTAGCATGGGCGCTGGTAAAAAAAGAGGGAACCGAGAAAAACGCTCTTGAAGTGTTAACACCTACTTCAAGTGCTAAGAACGACGATGTTTCTTTGTTCCATGTAGCCAAAACTATTCTTAGAGAAAGATATTTACCTGTTTTATTATGTTCTCAAATTAATTTGCAAATACATCTTTCTTTTGCTACACGAACGGGGGAAAAATCCACCTCATTTGCCTTATCAAAATGCACGAGAGCACAGACTCTTGCGCCTTCAAAATTTACATCATTTGCTTAAAAGTACATGTAGTGTATTCTCCGTTCCATCCATTCAACCTCACACTTTAGAGCACTTCTAAGAATACTATCACTACTCATCTGATGATTCCAACCTGAACAAATGAGACAAAAGTCATACTCTAGGTGAACAGTATATTCCAGCATATCAACCTTTCATTTATGTTTCTTCCTACTCCCTTATAAGATCGAAGTTCAACGTTAATCATGTGTTCGTTTATAGGAGGTATACGAAATGGGCGCAGTTGCATCCCCAACGCTTCTCAAGACAAACAATTTCAAAGGATTGGCCGTTGTACATTGTGGGTGCTGCTCTATTGGGGGCTTGAAGGCTCTAGCCCCTCCTCATTCTTCTATCCCTCTTATCCTTACGACAATCCTAACTTCAATATTTCGACTTCTTTCTTATTTTATAAACGCTACCCTTTTGCTGTGCATCAACTTGATCTCGCTCTCCATTGTGTTCACTCTCATGCGCAGACTCAGTAACACCTTCCCCTCAATTCACCTCTAACGAAGAGGTCGTTTTTCAAAATGAGCTGATTGATGAAACATGGTGGGTTATTGACTTCATGCATTAGTAGTTGTTCTACAGGAGGCCATGGGAGGAGGGGGTGAGGGATTGGGGGCTCAAGCCACCTTTCTTAATTCTTCTAGCCCCCACTATTTTGTTTTAATTACAAAAGAGAGGTCGCTCCTCCCCGTCACAAAAGAACCTCGAACGCCTCCCCCTCCAATATATATGATAATAATAATATAAAAATAACAACAATGATGATATATATTTTCTTAAATAACAAAATAAATAAATGAAAAAATTCATCTTCATGCCCAACCCAAACATGTTCTTGATTATAAATTCAACCCAAAAGCCAATACTTCGTAATCAATACCGGTTGAGTAAGATGGGTATTTTTTTTTACGAAGGAAACTCTGCACAGATCATGTTTCTCTCAGGAAAATACTGGTATTCTTTGTTCATCTTCGGTGAGAGTCACAAAACCCTTTGAGGGATTAAAATGGCCACGTACCTGTCATTGGGAAACATGGGCTAGTAGTCCTGTTCACCACAGTGTATTTACATATGGTCAGATGTGGTACTTACTGTCACGCATTGCAACAAGACAGCAATCTACTCTCTTCACCCAGGTGTTTAATGGGTAGTACCCGCTAGGAAAAATTGAATGCAGTGAGCACTGAAATCAGTATAGCCTCGGTAGAGCTAGGGTAATATTGGAGCGCCGTGAGAACCTTACGTGGTGGAACTTACCCATTAACAAACAAAATTATGATTACAAAATTGAATGATTAAGGTAGAGAAAGCTTCATAATATTGGTTATCATTTTCCACATCATGCAAACGGAGTAGAATCATCAAGTACAATGGAATCTTTTTTTTTTATAGCATGCTTACATGTACAACAACGAGACGAACCGCTCTTTTCTAACATTCACACTGCAGTTAGAGTGTACATCAAAACAGAAAAGAAATTAATTGAATGTAGGGATATCAATTTAATTTTTCCTCAATACTGCCATACTTTGTCAAAGGTCTCTCAAAAAGCGCAACTGTAATATTTTATCATTGAAATGGAAGGAATTTTCCCCAAAACAGTCAGAGTCATTAAAAATGTACAACGTGGACATGCATTCCTGACCATTAATGTTCAAATTGAAATTATCGTCAAAACTACTTCTGTGTTTGCACATATTATATTGTCACGATTTCAGATGACAGTTCTTTTCTTTTGTCAAAGTGGGGCAGAATACAGAAGCATCGGAAACAAAAATATTTTTGATAACATCTGTTATCAAAATCAATAGGAAAGAAACACAACACAATTTGAACTAGATAATTAGCCCCTAAACGAGAAGGGGTGTTCTGAATTTACTTTATCCACATCCCCTTAACTTTTTTTTTACTAAATAACTGAAATTTCTGACATATTAATATCGGTTATTAAAAACCAATATCCTCACTGATACACACCACATCTCGGTGGGCATACTGTCCTTTTTGATGATTTACTTATTCGCCCTTTGAAGATACACCCCTTACGCGAGAATGAACTCGACCCATGGCTAGAGCACATAACCTAAGGTTTGCCGGTGGTACTTGTCATAACTGATCTGGACCTTGGAGGCAGAGGTAAGTTAATTTTAGTATTCATTTGGTTCGTGGGCTTCAATGTAGGGTAATTGAAATTAGGATATATTCTTACGGAATGCGGTTTCAAAATTCCAGAGCCAAAATTCTACTACCTCTTGGTTCTTATTTTTGTTTTAATTAAATCACCCATCATATTTATCATTTAAGGCGTCAAAAAATTAATAATTGATTATTCCATGCTTTTACTACAATTTGGCCTGAAAAAAGAAGAAATATTACAATCTCTTTTTTGTCACTTCCTTTTACATTTTATATTGTACTTGTTTTGTTTCTCAACGACAGCAGACACACATTAGATAACACTATATAAAAAGCTTAGCATTAGTTGTCATAACTTATCATATGCTTTTAACGACTAATCTGTTATCCTAATACATTGATTATACCTTTCTTTCCTCTCACGCCGCAATATTTATGTTATTACTCACCAATCATTTTCACCATCAACCTGCCAAGCTTCATGATTAATGATGTCCCTTTTCTTCTTATTTTGTACGAATTCATTAACTGTACCTCGTTTTTTACCCCTGAAATACTTTGTATATTCTTTGCTATTTGCCTTTTTTCCCCTTTTTAAAAAAACTAAACGATGAATTTTTAGTCTGAATTGACAAAACACACGTCTCCTCCTTTACCTCATTTTTGCTTTTAGGTTTCGATATCATCCATTGAGGCATACTAGTCTAGAAAGCAGACGTGCAGCTTGACGATGTTTCGTTCTCTTTTCCTTTTCGCCCTGCTGGGCTTTGTACTTCTCCATGATGTGGCTGGTAAGATTTTTGCTTTTAATCTTCTATTATCACGTATTATTATACATTTTTGTCAAGTTCAAATCTCTAAATTTCGGAGGTTTGGAGGAAGAATCTCAATCTTCTTTTCAAATTTTGAAAATAAAAATAATCTCACATGGGTATGTTTCGATGCACAGATGTTTTGCATTTTGGAATACACTGGATGAAAACAACTGTGGTGGGGCGCAAAAGGGGTCCCCCTGGTCCTGATTTAGATTATTTTGCGATTTGAAAACTAAATCTACGTATTGTGATACATTCCGTACCCCTATTGAAAATCAAGTCTCAAATGCGCCCAATCCGGCTTGCATTTGAACAGGAATAGGATCACAAACTTGTAATTATGACAATGACAGGTAAAATGGGGGGCTTTGGATTTAGGTTTACAAGCAGTTTCTTCAATTTTTTCCCATTTTTTGGTTAAATCTAGAGAAGGCAAAACTGCCTGAAAGTCGCCCAAATGTCCATAGGCCTGAGGGGGGGGGGGGGGGGGGGTATGCAACCTTAGCTAGAATCGTTTACATAATTTTGAGATGAATTTTTAATAGGGTCAACAGATGGAAAATGGGTAATTATGAGCTTAATTACTCAGAAAGAGGATAAGCCGCCAGAAATTAATTTTTATTTTCTTTAAACAAAAATCTGTATTCAGATACGAAATCACGGATGAAATCATATGTTTAAATAAGATCAACTTATTATATGTATATTTACTTGAAAGCAGATTATAAATGCATTTCCTCATTGGTTTCTTCATCCACTTAGTAGTATTCTCATCTATTTTGTTATTCTTATTTTCTTCAACTTTTAGTCTTTATTTTAGCATAAAATAGAAATATCCCCCTATTATTTTTGTTGCTACACCTTTATTACATTTATTAACAACACTCGCTTTATGAATCGCCAAAAAGGCATAATGAAGAAGTAAATCAATATTTGTAACGTTTTCCTTTGCGTCATGTAAACCATATACAACATAAGAAAGAAAGTTTAAATTTTTCTACAGATAATGATATTTCAATAACATTCCAAAATGAAAAAAACTTTTCGCAATAAAAATACATGCATTATGGTACCATTTTTTAAAACAGTAATAACACAAATTGTTTTCTTTGACTTTGAATTTAAATGAAATAACAGATGTTGGTAAAATATTATACATCGATTTAAAGTTGGATTGATCAAGTAATTATCAGGAACATCTTCCAATTTAAATAGGCCTTTCCACAGCGGACCCACACTGAAAGAAAAAAGTTTCATTCCAGAAATGAGCGGTTTTTTAATTAACTTTATGAGTTCGGTTTAAATTTGTTTCACAGCAATACAGTGTTTTGACAATTTTTACATGAATTTTAAATAAAGTCAATCGATAAAAAGACTTTAGCAAACTCCAGAAAATCACCAAACAAGCAGGGAAGATCACGGGTGAAATTCAGAATTTGAATGAAGCATGCGAGTCCAAAATTGTTCTAGAACTAAAACAAATTATGAAAAACGAAACTCATCCACTCTTTCCATATTATGTTTTTATGCGTTCTGGTGAACGACTTTGTTCAATGAACTGTCGCACTCAACGTTTTCTAAATTCCTTTGTTCCTTTCTCGATCCGCAAATGCAATCAAAATGCTACCTGAACGTTACGTTCTTCTTTATTTCTGTAATGTTATTTTCGTAACGTTTCCGGGCTATCCCGTTCACTCGTTCACTTATTTTGTTTTATTATAATGTATATAGGAAAACCTTCTGTAAAGCAATATTCTGAAGAATTTCTATGTCAAAGTATATGATGTACAGTATTATGTATGTAAACTTATTTTGATTCTTTGTACGTTTGTAAAATGTGACCAAAATAAATTGAAATTGAAATTGATTAATGTGAAATTGAAATTGATAGAAAATGGGTAATTATAAGCTGAACTACTCCAAAAGCAGAGAAGAAGAGAGAATATGCCGCCAGAAATTAATTTGTAATAAATGTTTACTATGAAAGACACCTGCGGTACACCTTTATGCTGAGGTGGATAGATGTCGGAGTGGTTTAAACTCTAAACACTCATGTGAATATTTAAAATGTATGGGTTCGATCCTCGACACGGGACTTGTGTATATTCTTATAAACAAGGCATTTTATCTGCCTTTCTTCTTTCCACCCAATAATGTGTAAACTTGCCTACCCGGTTGATGTAAAAGCTATTTAGCCTTACTGAGAATTGGTGGCGTCAGTAAAATGACACCTCGCTGAAATAGTAGTAGTCGCTCTACGCAGAGCGAATTTATTATTTTTTTTAAAAAATAATTTATACAAAAACACTGACAAGATAATCACAATAATAAACGTGATGATATAACAGAAAATTAGCACTGAAATATCTTTGACATTGTTCTTTTTTGTATAGTCTTGTATGCAAGGAAAACGAACCTACCTGGAAGCAGTGCTTGTTATTATGTTCGCACAATAATATTTTTTCCTTCTATTTATCATCTTTCGAGGGACTTTATTTTGTTCATATCATAAAATAACTGCTATTTACAACGATGTTTATATACATAATTCATGCAATTATAACAGATCATATATATAGTACAAAACATGAAACTAATGTGACATAATCACTAACTAAAATTTTTGTTTCTGTTAATTCGTTTGTTCGGTTTTGATGTTAGTGTTTACTTTTATGCGAAATTACGATCTAGCACAGAACTTGAAAAGAAAAAGGAAATCAATTTGTGTTTGAAAGTTGTTTACCTCTGATTTTCTGACATAGTTCTGGTGTTTTTCTTTAGTCAAATATACAGGTTACCATTCCATTTACCATACCGGTTAGTATATGATAACATTCCGTTTATCATTAATTAAATGTATGTCTACCAAATGCTCAGTCCACCTCATATTAACGATCAACAAACATCTTCAGTTCACACACCTTCACTTGAAATAGAAAGATAGAATATGACATATCTCCTGAATAGTGAATCAAGAATGTCAATAAGTCAAAATGTTACAACTCGGCGATAACCATGTTTTATACTTGAAATATCGGAGTTTGTGGTAGACAATGTTTAACCAGAATGTCTAGAATCAGGGGCGTCGCTAGACCTTTTTCAGTGGGGAAGGGGGGGGGGGGTGTAGAGGCCACCGACTACCGACAAAACTTGCCACCAAATACCGACAAATATATTAATGCCAATGTCCTAATGTCTACACATTTAACACTATAAATCCGGGGCCGGGGGCTAAATTATTTTTCCCATGAACTATCTATACTTGCGTATGCGCACATGGTCATTTTCCTCGACCACATAAAATACGGCTTATTTCGTCGAGACCAGTCTGCATCGTAGCTTTCATGACTGAGCAATCATATCGACGTTGCGTGATTGGAAAGAGTGCGGCGCCTATGTTCCAAAAATCTCGAGTTCGAGTCTCGGGGTTGCGAATTTTAAATCTATGTTTTCTTTTTGCTGATATTAAACTTCGAGAAAATTCGTTGTTGTTGTTGTCGTTGTTGTTCTAGTTTTATTGGTGTGTATCATTCACTTATGAATATTTACGCCGAATTCAAGTTGCATCAAACAAAATTAAATGGAAGCACAAGAAAGAAGGGAGAAATCTACGCTGTTCAATTTGTTCGCATTTTGTGGAGATTCCAGACAGGCTGTCAACATAAAATCATTGAGCGTTTTGTGTATTTTCTGGCCAGCCCGGTTCGGAACATTGAACAGGCTTCTCGGCTTACATGCTCATGCGCAGCCTAGGCCCCCAATACCAAATTAAGTATTATACATGTACAAGTATTATAATAACACAGGTATTATAGTTAAAGTCTCTCTCGAAGACGTCACAGCGGATACAATGTCACAGTTCGTAGGGGAAAAATTATTGCGGGCCGACCGACATTATACATCGAGCACCGAGTTAAACTTCTGCATTGATATTAGTACTCGAGGAGCGAGCGAAAATAGCGACACAGCTGACCCGACACAGCAACATATATATGCGTATCTTTCTTGCTCCCTTGACGATAGAACTCCACCCAACAACCCCCCCCCCCCTCTCTCTCTCTCTCTCTTACTCCCACCCTCCTCTCTCAGGCTCTTACCCCCTCTCTCTCCTCTCTTTCATCCCCGGTTTCTTTCGTTTCCTTTTCTCTTTTTTCTGTTTTTTTTTTCTTTTCTCCTTTTCTTTCTTTTCTTTCTTTTTCTTGCCCTCCTTTCTTTTCCTTTCCGTTTTTCTTCTTTTCTTTCCCTTTCTCTCTCATTTTCCCCCTCCATTTCTCATTTTTACCGACAGCAGCGCAATTTTACCGACAATATTCTGACAGGTGGGGGGGGGGGGGGGTGTGTCGCAACCCCACCCCCTTTAGCGACACCCTGGCTAGAATCCTATGACTTAACAGCTGCTGAGCACCATTCTGTAGCAAGCTTAATACATTAGATCATACGATTCGAGTTCAAGAATATAGTTTGTCATTTTTGTTAGCGATCCTTACAATAACACTTGATTAAATTATGTTTTGAATAAACTGCATTCAAACTGAAAGTGTATTTGAATAAAACCCCTTTATTAACATATTTAACTATAGATACTGATCATCATGTAATACTAGTAATAATTGATTTATTAATTACATTTGGGATTTCCTTTTATCAGTATATTACCGAACATGTTTGTTTTAAACAAACACCCGCATAGATAATACACCAAATAAATCAAGGCTTCTTTTAAAGTTCAACCGCTTTGACCTATTGCAGTAACAACTCGAGATAACAGGGGCGGATCTAGCTTTTTGCAAGGGGGGGGGGGAGGGTTCGACCAAATTTGTTTCCAAAAATCACGCCGTTTTACTGTTTTACTTATTTTTCTTTTTCACTTGGCCGCGCAAGGGGGGGGGGGGTTAAATCGCCGAAACACCCACCCCCCCCCCTAGATCCGCCCCCGGATAATTAATGCTGAATTGTAATTCGATCATGTCTATCCTAATCTACAAATGAAATGCAATTGAAAGTAATGATTATGCATATATTTCAGTTCAGGGTAACTAAAGGTCCATGTAATATTGTATAAATATATGAATATTGTAGAAAAGTGAAGTGCGAAAAAAAAGTATATTGCTTGTTTGTGTACTATAGTTTTGCTAAGCAATGTAATTTTTTGATCCAACTAAACTTCAAAAACCTGTGAGGGGGTAGTCACTTTCGTCACCTTCACCTCTCTCGTTCAGTATGCTCCCTCGAACTAGCGAACTGATTTTTTGTTGGTTTGGTTTATTTCTAACTCGATACCAGTGACTTACAAAATGTTGCTGAAATGCCATGATTTGTCCCTGTGCTTCCGGGGGCTCTGCCCCTGGACCCCACAAGGACCCTAAGGTGAGCTCCTGGATGTTCATCTGACTGTTATTAATTGCCTCTAACCTCTGAGCTTCCGGGGGCTCTGCCCCCTGCCCCCCTCTAAGTGCCCTAAGGCGGCCCCTGATGCTTATCTGATCGTTCTTTAATGCCTTATAACCCTGAGCTGCTGGGGGCTCCACCCCCTGGATCCAACTCTAATTAGTGACTTTCAAGGCAGTGTCACAAATAAGGTATCAAAATATGCTCATCTGACCGTTATAAAATGCCTAAAACCCCTGCGGCTTCCAGGGGCTCCGCCACCAGGGGCCCGCCCTGGATGATCATGTGACTTTAATTAAATGCCTAAAACCCATGAGCTTCATGGGGCTCTACCCCTTGACCCCCGCCGGGGCTTTGCCCCTGGACCCCACGCCAAGTTACGCTCCACTTGCTTTGCTCTACTTGATCGTAAATACTTTAGCCCCCCCCCCCCACTTTGAAAAACGTTCCGCGGGGCCTGCATGGTACATGTTAGAGTAGTGGTGAAGCAGGGTTTTTCTTGCTCATTACGCCACTGCTCCCTCGTTCTTCGCTCTTCGCCCCCCCCCCCGGTCATGAAAAGAAATCGCTGCCCTGCTACCGACTACATAATTTCTGGACATCAGTGAAGACAATTTGACATCTACATTCTAAGTTAATATTCAGGCGGGCAATTGCGCAAAAGACAGGCATTTAGAAAGTAACTTATCTACAATAATGTAATTTCTTTTATCTAAAGGACAACCCCGGTGGGGAATTGCCAGGCAAAGTAGGAGGAATGGTGAGTTTTTGTAGATGATGACTCCTTTCGCAAAGTATTGATCTACGCTTTTGTTACTATCCCTTCAACGGGGTCTTTATATATATAGTTTGTTTATGTTTAGCAGCTCGGCTGTCACTGAGATAATAATATCATACCACCAGGAGTGTCGACACGTGACAGATATAATGATAATAATAATGATAATAATAATAATAATAATAATAATAATAATAATAATAATAATGATAATAATAATAATAATAATAATAATAATTATAATAATAATAATAATAATAATAATAATAATAATAATAATAATAATGATAGTGGGTTCTTTTAATATAATTCTTGTTGTTGTTGTTTTGATTAATAGGTGCTACTTTTGCTTATGATATTACTACTACTATGATGATGATGATGATGGTGAAGATAATAATAATTATGATCATCATCATCATCATAAAATAATCAAAAATTATAAAAACCATTGCATGTCCATCAAGGTAACATAGTATGGTTCGTTAATGATAATGGTTGTAAAGAATACTTTTTCCCATATACGACCGAAAGTGAAGCAATAATCAAGATTGCAACAAGGCAAGTAATATAGTGGCCATGTACAGGTTGAAATTTTTTTTACTTCTAAACAACATAGAAAGCAAATATTTGGCAACATTCTACAGGTTGCAATTAATTTATGAAACGGAAGAAAAGCTCATGTATGGTGGTTAGAGTTGGTATTTGTGATATTCAATACATGAGTTGGTTGTATGACTTCTTTTGCAGGCCGGAACAGGATTGACTGTGAGGGAGGCCCTTTGCAAGTACAACAGATCTTGGAGAATTTCAACGCTCCCGGTGTTGTGACTACTACCCTGACGGTCGACTCGGATGAAATATACCTTTATTTCTGCGAGGGTGCCTTTAACGAACAGAGTTGTTACAAAATGAGTAGGTACTCTGAAATTAACCAACGCCTTTGGTATTTTAAATGGTGTGATTTTATTACTTGTGTTGCTGGTAGGGTAGAGTAAGCTAGAAAATTGATAATTCTAAGCTGGTAAATTCCATACTTAGGTAGAATATTTGTAATAAACGAGAGAAAGAAAAATTTATTTTGAAACGAAATCTTTGTCGTTTAGGCCTAATGAGATTTTACCTAAACTGTACTTCTTTTATTATAAGGAATGAATTGTATTTATACCGTATATTTTCAAAAGAAAAAACAACTCCAAGAGTAAATCACTTTAGCGGAAGCAGAAAAATCAGGTTAACAGATTGTTAAACGGTTGTACGAAATGGTACAAAAGTAAGGAAGTTATGACGTTTTGAACGCTGTAGTCATTATATTTATCATGCTTCTGGCAACTTCAAATAATCGGCAATGTTGCTGTCATGTATTGCCAGTCATCTTTCACATTTGTCATTTGTGTGGTTCTACGCACATATTACCAAAATCTTTCAAAATGTATGACTCAGGAGGGTAATGAACTCTATTTCTTGTATTTTTCCTCTTTTAATTTAAAACGTGGTTTAACGTAACAGAATTATGGAAAGCCTTTATATTTCCAAACAATTAGGTGTCCGTTTTCACGACAGGAATAAGTGAAACTACACTGGGCGTTTGGCCATCTGTAGCTTCACGATGTGGTTCAAGAATGTTAACGAAGATTCATTATTATAGGGCCACTCTAACCAAAACGGGTTAAAAAAATAATAACAAAGACATGTAGAATAATTTTTGACGGAGATTCCGAACATGACAATGATTTTTCTTAGAAATCATCAATAATTCTGGAATCTAGCTTTAAAAATGACGACTCAGAACGCTCAGAAAAAAGCCCATGCAGTTTCGGAGCTGTATTGCGCGATAGCATATGACGTCACTCCGGGGTAAAGGAGTGTGATTTAGGCATTGCAATGTATTTTAAAAGGCAAACTATGATATTATTTGAAGAAGAAAAAAAAAGACATATGTATTCAAAAAATAATATGCAACCCTAACCCTAATCCAGTACGTTTCTGGCAATTTCGTCATTCCTAATTATGAATTACAATGAGATTGTAAGATCCTTAGTTGTAGGACAAAATAATACAAGGACATTCCCGCAATGACGTCAAATGCGTAATCAAGCCACGTGACCGTTTTACCTTTTTTCGAGGGGCGTAGCCTAGCATGTGTGAGATCTGTGAAAAATGGATGGTTATTATCATTTTTTGGTCAATTTAGAGATTTTCTGAAAAATCAGAGGCTGGAGTATTAATAAGTAGAGGTGTATTCATATTTTAAAAGGCTATGTTAGTTGGGTTAGAGTAGCATTTTAATGTCGAAGCAATCACGTCTGGACAAGTGGATCTGTAAGACTCTGACAGGCTCAACATGTAATGGCTTACGTAATGTCACCACTTAAAGCCAAATGGTTATGCTTACAAAAGCAATATCAGTAACAACTCGCTGAACAATAAATATTAACACGTTACATACGTGTATCAGTAAAGGGGGGTATTATCCTTAGTTAGCCCCACTACAACGAACATGATAATTTATCCTGATTTTTGCAGCTCTGAGCACTAGAAATGCTGCATCCTCGGTGAGCTTGGGAGGTGGAAGTAACGTCCTCTGTGAGTCACCTCCAAGACCATTCATCCAAAAGGGTGTTCCCACCATAATCACCATCACCATTACCAGTCAGGCATGTAACGTCGCCAACCCTGAAGGAGACAAGCTGCCTATCCTAGCCCCGAATGAAGCAAATTTCCACAACTGCTTTGCATCAACCGACTCTGGAAGCCAAACAACCATCGAAATCGAAGCCAGTAACTATCAGACTCTTCTCGTAATGCAGTGCTTACAACTTAATAGTGACATAAGACAGGTTTTGTTTTTAAATGTTCTAATAGTTAAACTTGTTTTTTTACAACAAGATCATAGGCGTACCGCGTACGGGCACATTTTTATCTTTTTTCAAATTGTCTTATATCTTGACTCTATTTTTGGGTAGTGAAACATACGGGAAACTCCTGCCCGAACATTATGAATATTATGTTGCCACCTCGCTGCCCGAATTCGAAGCGGGGTTTCCCCTAGTGCCGGAACTTTTGCAAATTATGACACATAACATACAGCAATAATGTTAGTTAACTCATGGCGAATTAAAAATTTGTCTGCGTACCACATGCTAATTTATATTTCAAGGACTATTTTTACCACACAAAAAAGAGAGGTCTCTCTTGGTCTTGCAATGATAAAAATTATAATCACGATAATTTCATCTTCTGTTTTTTACCCGCTAGCACCTCGATCTGGTACCCCAGGTAAGTGAACCCATCTTTTTCACTTTCAAATTCTCTCTCTCTCTCTCTCTCTCCCTCTCCCCTTCCCCCTCTCCCTCTCTCTCTCTCTCTCTCCCTCCCCTCTCTCTCTCTCTCTCTCTCTCTCTCCCTCCCCCTCCCTCTCCCTCTCCCTCTCTCTCTCTCTCTCTCTCTCCCTCCCCCCTCTCTCTCTCTCTCGATCGATCGATCGATCGACATAATGATATTGATGTTTTGTGTTTAATGAAAACTTTTAGTACGACAGGTATAGTTTGACGAACGTGAATTAGTAGTTGTTGACAGGGATTATCTATTCAATCTTCCCCGGGTGATTTTTCTCAGTTTGTATTGTATTTAGCATGTTTTATGGGTCATGATATCTGTGCAAATGAAATGATATATGAGCAAGACAATACTGGTGAGTGAAATGATGAATCTCATCGGTGATTCGTTAGAATAATTGACGTATAGATAGGCAACATAGGTGCCCCTACGTCCGAGTTATATATAGTGATGTAAATTTGATTGTTTAACATATGCGAATCAAGTTGGTGGAGTTATTTTCATTTGCATTCAGCGTTATTTTCCTTCAGTGTGCCTATTTACTATTATTTGGCCTTTGGTTCGTGGGATGAAAAACAAATAATTTAATCAAATATTTTGCAAAAAAAAAGCTCCTTCTATATTTATTATTATATAATCAGCAGCGGTTAGAATTTTTTTTAGTTCCATGATTTTTTAAAACAACATATAAGATGCATATTTTAAACAATATAGAAAACAGACACACACAAAATATGGAAACATATTTACAAATATACCGGAATTAAACAAAATTAATCAGCAATAGAAATGAATTGGGGGGGGGGGGGACTGCAAATAAAACCACAAGGTTACGTCGTGGCAGTCCCTGTTATTTGCAAAGAATATAGATCGAGAAAAAGTAAAGTAATTTAATGTTATGATATTCTCATCAATTCAAACTGCTTCCTCTTTAAAACTTAACCAAGCGAGTTAAATAGCAAAAAGTATATGGAATCTACACCATTTGCTATGTATTTGATTTTGTTTAGATCCATATAGTTTACAGAATGATGTTTGAAATAAGGTGAAACTAGGATTTAAAGTAGGTCTGTTTGAAAAGCTTATAAAACGAGAAAAAGTAAAGTACTGTGATGTTATGATATTTTCATCAATTCGAACTACCACCCTTCAAACTAAAGCAAGGGAGTTGAAAGGCGAAAAGTGCCTGATATCTACACCAGTTAATGTGTATCTATTTCACAATAAGATATTTGAGTCGAGATGGACTAAGTATTAAGGCCCCACTGTCCTACTTGTAGCTACTTGCTCCCTCTACATAGAAAACTTCCCCAATCGGTGCCTGTTAATTGGTCCCCCATGATCCTCTTTTTCTTATGTTAGTTGAGAGCTGAGTTAATGAGATGGCCACCTGTCAGTGACCTCGCTTTGTGGTCTAATCCCTTCTGGCCCAGTAGTATTGACGGTCTTTAATGGTTAGGCCCTATAAAATAATCAAGATTTTTTAACATTGATTTTGTGATAGTATCGCTTTATATGAGGTACATATAACTTAAAGGGTACTCGAACTTTTGAAATAACTTTACTTGCAAAAATGCAGAATGAGAAGAGAAACAAATGCTGATAATTAAAAATCAGATAAAGAAAGAGGATTATGAATCGTATATTGAAAAGAATAAGACACTGCATGAAATTCATCGCTAAATTTGACTGCATGCAGGATTACGATGATTTTATGATTAATTTTGAGTTATATTTATGTCTTTTCAGGAAGTAGGAGCAGCAAAAGCAGCAGCAGCAGCAGCGGCAGCGGTAAGTATTTTGTTTAGTTCAACATAGTTTACGATATGATGTTTGGATTGAGGTATTTACATTGTTTATTATGGTACATATGTTAACATATTTACATGAGCATGCATAAATTTGCATATATTATCAGATACACACCGACGTGTATCCAAGAAAACACATAGTATAACTTGAATTTCTTATGTATTCTGTTGTTTTTCATTACTTTTGTATTTTATTGTTTACATTTTTTATGTTTTGCATTATTTTTTGACAATGATATTAGATATGACAACCATGAAGACAAAGACAATTTACAATTATATGGGGAAATTGGATTGTATTTTACAAGTTTCATAACATGTCCATTCCACTACACATACATATATGAACAAATGACTGTTTTTAGATGACCTTTGAGTTTGATCTTATTGGTCATGCGACCTTGTAATGCTTGGTCCGATCTTCGCAAATTCTGAACCAAAAATTTATTTATTTTTATTTATTTATTTATTTATTAAAACATCTTTTAACAGGATAACATTAATCAGCTCGCAGGCTGTTTTACATAATGGTCCTGCATAAGGATGGAAAATACAAATACAGACTGACATTAAGAGTAGTTACAAACAAAATAGCAGTTTTATACAAGTGCTCAAGACTTGAAGAAAAAAGTCATGAAAGTTAAACTTTATGTCTGCCGCGGTTCCGGAGAAGTCGCTTATTTACTACAGGGGGCAGGGTCTAATTGACCCCCCCCCCCCCTCCCCGGTTTAAATAGGGTTAAAGTATGTCTATTTGAAAATATTATAGAACGAGAAGAAGGAAGGTAGTGTCATCGTATGATAATCTCATCATTTTGTACTACTGCCCCTTTACAATCTAAGCAAGGGCGTTGAAAAGCGTTAAGTGAATGACCTCCACACTAATGAATTTGTGCTTAATTCACGATCAGATATTTGAGTCGAGATGGACTTAGTGTATCAACGGTCGGGTCATACAAATCAAGATTGTTTTAACACTGTTTTGAGATATTTTCGTTATAAAAATATAACCATGACAACCCTGGGTCTTGTATGTTGATACTTAAAGGACGCTCCAACCTTCAAAATAACTTCACTTGCATACAATCAAGAAAAGGAAAATATATCGATGATTTCATGAGAAAAAAATTCTGTTTTTATTTATATCTTGTCAGGCGAACGCAACAACAACGGCGGTTAGTATTTTTTTCAGTTCCACATAGTTTACAGCATGATGTTTGAAACAGGGTAAAGCGTATGTCTAAAGTAGGCCTATTCGAAATGATTATAGAACGAGAAGAAGGAAAGTAGCATCATGTTATGATAATCACTTCATTTCGTACTCAGTACTACCCCTTTTAAATTTAAGCAAGGAAGTTGAAAAGCGTTAGGTAAATGACCTCCACAAAAGTTAATTTGCATTTAATTCACAGTAAGATATTTGAGTCGAGATGGACTAAGTGTATCAACGGTTTGGTCATATAAATCAAGATTGTTTTAACATTGACTTTCGATATTTTTGTTATAAAACTATAACCACGACAACCTTGGGTCTAATATGATGATATGCAAAGGGCACTACAACCTTTAGAATAACTTCATTGGCTTAAAACCAAGAAAAGGAAGATATATTAACGATGATTGTATTACCATTTTTGTGTTTTATTTTGATCTCGCTAGGAAACGGTGACGATAGCAGCGGTTAGTATTTTGTTTAGTTCAATGAAGTTTACGATGTGACGTTTGAAACGAATCGAAACGAGTACCTGGTCTGTTTGCAATAATTATAGTACGAGAAAAAGAAGAGCAGTCTTTAAAGGTACTATGTCCCTGTTGCAGCCAACCTCAAATTCTGTAGAACTTTGCAGGAATTATGAATATGTCATGTATGTCCTATCTGTGAAATGTATACGTTAGCAGTGTCCTCATATTCAAATTATGCAAGGAAACCCATTTACTTGCTAGACTTCACTGTCAGACATTATTGAGTGACTGACTGGCTTTTTTTCTTCTTTGGTAATAACATACATGAAAAGAGGTGTAAAGGGTACATGAGCATTTGTCTACATCAATAACCCACTTCTTGTGATGGCCAAGATTAAACTGATTGAATCTTTGCGCAGCATGAAACGTATGACCATTCGGTACAATATTGTCTGAAAATCAAGACTATTACTTTTGGGCTCTAAAGCCCTAAAGTCGATTTGACACTAATAGTCGTTATTTTCCCACTTCAAGACATTTTCAAGCCCCACCTTTTTAAAGGAAGTTCTAAATTAGTATTATCTTTCAAATGCAGTTGGATTTTAACTTTTTCATTTTTTGGGCCTGCAAATGGGACATAGTACCTTTAAATTTATTATATTCTCATCAATTTGAACTGCTTCCTCTTTAAAACTTAACCAAGCGAGTTAAATAGCAAAAAGTATATGGAATCTACACCATTTGCTATGTATTTGATTTTGTTTAGATCCATATAGTTTACAGAATGATGTTTGAAATAAGGTGAAACTAGGATTTAAAGTAGGTCTGTTTGAAAAGCTTATAGAACGAGAAAAAGTAAAGTACTGTGATGTTATGATATTTTCATCAATTCGTACTACCACCCTTCAAACAAAAGCAAGGGAGATGAAAGGCGAAAAGTGCCTGATATCTACACCAGTTAATGTGTATCTATTTTACAATATGATATTTGAGTCGAGATGGACTAAGTGTATCAACGGTTTGGTCATATAAATCAAGATTGTTTTAACATTGACTTTGTGATATTTTTGTTATAAAACTATAACCACGACAACCTTGGTTCTAATATGATGATATGCAAAGGGCACTACAACCTTTAGAATAACTTCATTGGCTTAAAACCAAGAAAAGGAAGATATATTAACGATGATTGTATTACCATTTTTGTGTTTTATTTTGATCTCGCTAGGAAACGGTGACGATAGCAGCGGTTAGTATTTTGTTTAGTTCATTGAAGTTTACGATGTGACGTTTGAAACGAATCGAAACGAGTACCTGGTCTGTTTGCAATAATTATAGTACGAGAAAAAGAAGAGCAGTCTTTAAAGGTACTATGTCCCTGTTGCAGCCAACCTCAAATTCTGTAGAACTTTGCAGGAATTATGAATATGTCATGTATGTCCTATCTGTGAAATGTATACGTTAGCAGTGTCCTCATATTCAAATTATGCAAGGAAACCCATTTACTTGCTAGACTTCACTGTCAGACATTATTGAGTGACTAACTGGCTTTTTTTCTTCTTTGGTAATAACATACATGAAAAGAGGTGTAAAGGGTACATGAGCATTTGTCTACATCAATAACCCACTTCTTGTGATGGCCAAGATTAAACTGATTGAATCTTTGCGCAGCATGAAACGTATGACCATTCGGTACAATATTGTCTGAAAATCAAGACTATTACTTTTGGGCTCTAAAGCCCTAAAGTCGATTTGACACTAATAGTCGTTATTTTCCCACTTCAAGACATTTTCAAGCCCCACCTATTCAAAGGAAGTTCTAAATTAGTATTATCTTTCAAATGGAGTTGGATTTTAACTTTTTCATTTTTGGGGCCTGCAAATGGGACATAGTACCTTTCAATTTATTATATTCTCATCAATTTGAACTGCTTCCTCTTTAAAACTTAACCAAGCGAGTTAAATAGCAAAAAGTATATGGAATCTACACCATTTGCTATGTATTTGATTTTGTTTAGATCCATATAGTTTACAGAATGATGTTTGAAATAAGGTGAAACTAGGATTTAAAGTAGGTCTGTTTGAAAAGCTTATAGAACGAGAAAAAGTAAAGTACTGTAATGTTATGATATTTTCATCAATTCGTACTACCACCCTTCAAACAAAAGCAAGGGAGATGAAAGGCGAAAAGTGCCTGATATCTACACCAGTTAATGTGTATCTATTTTACAATATGATATTTGAGTCGAGATGGACTAAGTGTATCAACGGTTTGGTCATATAAATCAAGATTGTTTTAACATTGACTTTGTGATATTTTTGTTATAAAACTATAACCACGACAACCTTGGTTCTAATATGATGATATGCAAAGGGCACTACAACCTTTAGAATAACTTCATTGGCTTAAAACCAAGAAAAGGAAGATATATTAACGATGATTGTATTACCATTTTTGTGTTTTATTTTGATCTCGCTAGGAAACGGTGACGATAGCAGCGGTTAGTATTTTGTTTAGTTCATTGAAGTTTACGATGTGACGTTTGAAACGAATCGAAACGAGTACCTGGTCTGTTTGCAATAATTATAGTACGAGAAAAAGAAGAGCAGTCTTTAAAGGTACTATGTCCCTGTTGCAGCCAACCTCAAATTCTGTAGAACTTTGCAGGAATTATGAATATGTCATGTATGTCCTATCTGTGAAATGTATACGTTAGCAGTGTCCTCATATTCAAATTATGCAAGGAAACCCATTTACTTGCTAGACTTCACTGTCAGACATTATTGAGTGACTGACTGGCTTTTTTTCTTCTTTGGTAATAACATACATGAAAAGAGGTGTAAAGGGTACGTGAGCATTTGTCTACATCAATAACCCACTTCTTGTGATGGCCAAGATTAAACTGATTGAATCTTTGCGCAGCATGAAACGTATGACCATTCGGTACAATATTGTCTGAAAATCAAGACTATTACTTTTGGGCTCTAAAGCCCTAAAGTCGATTTGACACTAATAGTCGTTATTTTCCCACTTCAAGACATTTTCAAGCCCCACCTTTTTAAAGAAAGTTCTAAATTAGTATTATCTTTCAAATGCAGTTGGATTTTAACTTTTTCATTTTTTGGGCCTGCAAATGGGACATAGTACCTTTAAATTTATTATATTCTCATCAATTTGAACTGCTTCCTCTTTAAAACTTAACCAAGCGAGTTAAATACCAAAAAATATATGGAATCTACACCATTTGCTATGTATTTGATTTTGTTTAGATCCATATAGTTTACAGAATGATGTTTGAAATAAGGTGAAACTAGGATTTAAAGTAGGTCTGTTTGAAAAGCTTATAGAACGAGAAAAAGTAAAGTACTGTAATGTTATGATATTTTCATCAATTCGTACTACCACCCTTCAAACAAAAGCAAGGGAGATGAAAGGCGAAAAGTGCCTGATATCTACACCAGTTAATGTGTATCTATTTTACAATATGATATTTGAGTCGAGATGGACTAAGTGTATCAACGGTTTGGTCATATAAATCAAGATTGTTTTAACATTGACTTTGTGATATTTTTGTTATAAAACTATAACCACGACAACCTTGGTTCTAATATGATGATATGCAAAGGGCACTACAACCTTTAGAATAACTTCATTGGCTTAAAACCAAGAAAAGGAAGATATATTAACGATGATTGTATTACCATTTTTGTGTTTTATTTTGATCTCGCTAGGAAACGGTGACGATAGCAGCGGTTAGTATTTTGTTTAGTTCATTGAAGTTTACGATGTGACGTTTGAAACGAATCGAAACGAGTACCTGGTCTGTTTGCAATAATTATAGTACGAGAAAAAGAAGAGCAGTCTTTAAAGGTACTATGTCCCTGTTGCAGCCAACCTCAAATTCTGTAGAACTTTGCAGGAATTATGAATATGTCATGTATGTCCTATCTGTGAAATGTATACGTTAGCAGTGTCCTCATATTCAAATTATGCAAGGAAACCCATTTACTTGCTAGACTTCACTGTCAGACATTATTGAGTGACTGACTGGCTTTTTTTCTTCTTTGGTAATAACATACATGAAAAGAGGTGTAAAGGGTACATGAGCATTTGTCTACATCAATAACCCACTTCTTGTGATGGCCAAGATTAAACTGATTGAATCTTTGCGCAGCATGAAACGTATGACCATTCGGTACAATATTGTCTGAAAATCAAGACTATTACTTTTGGGCTCTAAAGCCCTAAAGTCGATTTGACACTAATAGTCGTTATTTTCCCACTTCAAGACATTTTCAAGCCCCACCTTTTTAAAGGAAGTTCTAAATTAGTATTATCTTTCAAATGCAGTTGGATTTTAACTTTTTCATTTTTTGGGCCTGCAAATGGGACATAGTACCTTTAAATTTATTATATTCTCATCAATTTGAACTGCTTCCTCTTTAAAACTTAACCAAGCGAGTTAAATAGCAAAAAGTATATGGAATCTACACCATTTGCTATGTATTTGATTTTGTTTAGATCCATATAGTTTACAGAATGATGTTTGAAATAAGGTGAAACTAGGATTTAAAGTAGGTCTGTTTGAAAAGCTTATAGAACGAGAAAAAGTAAAGTACTGTGATGTTATGATATTTTCATCAATTCGTACTACCACCCTTCAAACAAAAGCAAGGGAGATGAAAGGCGAAAAGTGCCTGATATCTACACCAGTTAATGTGTATCTATTTTACAATATGATATTTGAGTCGAGATGGACTAAGTGTATCAACGGTTTGGTCATATAAATCAAGATTGTTTTAACATTGACTTTGTGATATTTTTGTTATAAAACTATAACCACGACAACCTTGGTTCTAATATGATGATATGCAAAGGGCACTACAACCTTTAGAATAACTTCATTGGCTTAAAACCAAGAAAAGGAAGATATATTAACGATGATTGTATTACCATTTTTGTGTTTTATTTTGATCTCGCTAGGAAACGGTGACGATAGCAGCGGTTAGTATTTTGTTTAGTTCATTGAAGTTTACGATGTGACGTTTGAAACGAATCGAAACGAGTACCTGGTCTGTTTGCAATAATTATAGTACGAGAAAAAGAAGAGCAGTCTTTAAAGGTACTATGTCCCTGTTGCAGCCAACCTCAAATTCTGTAGAACTTTGCAGGAATTATGAATATGTCATGTATGTCCTATCTGTGAAATGTATACGTTAGCAGTGTCCTCATATTCAAATTATGCAAGGAAACCCATTTACTTGCTAGACTTCACTGTCAGACATTATTGAGTGACTGACTGGCTTTTTTTCTTCTTTGGTAATAACATACATGAAAAGAGGTGTAAAGGGTACGTGAGCATTTGTCTACATCAATAACCCACTTCTTGTGATGGCCAAGATTAAACTGATTGAATCTTTGCGCAGCATGAAACGTATGACCATTCGGTACAATATTGTCTGAAAATCAAGACTATTACTTTTGGGCTCTAAAGCCCTAAAGTCGATTTGACACTAATAGTCGTTATTTTCCCACTTCAAGACATTTTCAAGCCCCACCTTTCAAAGGAAGTTCTAAATTAGTATTATCTTTCAAATGCAGTTGGATTTTAACTTTTTCATTTTTGGGGCCTGCAAATGGGACATAGTACCTTTAAATTTATTATATTCTCATCAATTTGAACTGCTTCCTCTTTAAAACTTAACCAAGCGAGTTAAATAGCAAAAAGTATATGGAATCTACACCATTTGCTATGTATTTGATTTTGTTTAGATCCATATAGTTTACAGAATGATGTTTGAAATAAGGTGAAACTAGGATTTAAAGTAGGTCTGTTTGAAAAGCTTATAGAACGAGAAAAAGTAAAGTACTGTGATGTTATGATATTTTCATCAATTCGTACTACCACCCTTCAAACAAAAGCAAGGGAGATGAAAGGCGAAAAGTGCCTGATATCTACACCAGTTAATGTGTATCTATTTTACAATATGATATTTGAGTCGAGATGGACTAAGTGTATCAACGGTTTGGTCATATAAATCAAGATTGTTTTAACATTGACTTTGTGATATTTTTGTTATAAAACTATAACCACGACAACCTTGGTTCTAATATGATGATATGCAAAGGGCACTACAACCTTTAGAATAACTTCATTGGCTTAAAACCAAGAAAAGGAAGATATATTAACGATGATTGTATTACCATTTTTGTGTTTTATTTTGATCTCGCTAGGAAACGGTGACGATAGCAGCGGTTAGTATTTTGTTTAGTTCATTGAAGTTTACGATGTGACGTTTGAAACGAATCGAAACGAGTACCTGGTCTGTTTGCAATAATTATAGTACGAGAAAAAGAAGATCAGTCTTTAAAGGTACTATGTCCCTGTTGCAGCCAACCTCAAATTCTGTAGAACTTTGCAGGAATTATGAATATGTCATGTATGTCCTATCTGTGAAATGTATACGTTAGCAGTGTCCTCATATTCAAATTATGCAAGGAAACCCATTTACTTGCTAGACTTCACTGTCAGACATTATTGAGTGACTGACTGGCTTTTTTTCTTCTTTGGTAATAACATACATGAAAAGAGGTGTAAAGGGTACGTGAGCATTTGTCTACATCAATAACCCACTTCTTGTGATGGCCAAGATTAAACTGATTGAATCTTTGCGCAGCATGAAACGTATGACCATTCGGTACAATATTGTCTGAAAATCAAGACTATTACTTTTGGGCTCTAAAGCCCTAAAGTCGATTTGACACTAATAGTCGTTATTTTCCCACTTCAAGACATTTTCAAGCCCCACCTTTTTAAAGAAAGTTCTAAATTAGTATTATCTTTCAAATGCAGTTGGATTTTAACTTTTTCATTTTTTGGGCCTGCAAATGGGACATAGTACCTTTAAATTTATTATATTCTCATCAATTTGAACTGCTTCCTCTTTAAAACTTAACCAAGCGAGTTAAATAGCAAAAAGTATATGGAATCTACACCATTTGCTATGTATTTGATTTTGTTTAGATCCATATAGTTTACAGAATGATGTTTGAAATAAGGTGAAACTAGGATTTAAAGTAGGTCTGTTTGAAAAGCTTATAGAACGAGAAAAAGTAAAGTACTGTAATGTTATGATATTTTCATCAATTCGTACTACCACCCTTCAAACAAAAGCAAGGGAGATGAAAGGCGAAAAGTGCCTGATATCTACACCAGTTAATGTGTATCTATTTTACAATATGATATTTGAGTCGAGATGGACTAAGTGTATCAACGGTTTGGTCATATAAATCAAGATTGTTTTAACATTGACTTTGTGATATTTTTGTTATAAAACTATAACCACGACAACCTTGGTTCTAATATGATGATATGCAAAGGGCACTACAACCTTTAGAATAACTTCATTGGCTTAAAACCAAGAAAAGGAAGATATATTAACGATGATTGTATTACCATTTTTGTGTTTTATTTTGATCTCGCTAGGAAACGGTGACGATAGCAGCGGTTAGTATTTTGTTTAGTTCATTGAAGTTTACGATGTGACGTTTGAAACGAATCGAAACGAGTACCTGGTCTGTTTGCAATAATTATAGTACGAGAAAAAGAAGAGCAGTCTTTAAAGGTACTATGTCCCTGTTGCAGCCAACCTCAAATTCTGTAGAACTTTGCAGGAATTATGAATATGTCATGTATGTCCTATCTGTGAAATGTATACGTTAGCAGTGTCCTCATATTCAAATTATGCAAGGAAACCCATTTACTTGCTAGACTTCACTGTCAGACATTATTGAGTGACTGACTGGCTTTTTTTCTTCTTTGGTAATAACATACATGAAAAGAGGTGTAAAGGGTACGTGAGCATTTGTCTACATCAATAACCCACTTCTTGTGATGGCCAAGATTAAACTGATTGAATCTTTGCGCAGCATGAAACGTATGACCATTCGGTACAATATTGTCTGAAAATCAAGACTATTACTTTTGGGCTCTAAAGCCCTAAAGTCGATTTGACACTAATAGTCGTTATTTTCCCACTTCAAGACATTTTCAAGCCCCACCTTTTTAAAGAAAGTTCTAAATTAGTATTATCTTTCAAATGCAGTTGGATTTTAACTTTTTCATTTTTTGGGCCTGCAAATGGGACATAGTACCTTTAAATTTATTATATTCTCATCAATTTGAACTGCTTCCTCTTTAAAACTTAACCAAGCGAGTTAAATAGCAAAAAGTATATGGAATCTACACCATTTGCTATGTATTTGATTTTGTTTAGATCCATATAGTTTACAGAATGATGTTTGAAATAAGGTGAAACTAGGATTTAAAGTAGGTCTGTTTGAAAAGCTTATAGAACGAGAAAAAGTAAAGTACTGTGATGTTATGATATTTTCATCAATTCGTACTACCACCCTTCAAACAAAAGCAAGGGAGATGAAAGGCGAAAAGTGCCCGATATCTACACCAGTTAATGTGTATCTATTTTACAATATGATATTTGAGTCGAGATGGACTAAGTATTAAGGCCCCACTGTCCTACGTGTAGCTACTTGCTCCCTCTATATCGAAAACTTCCCCAATGGGTGCCTGTTAATTGGTCCCCAATGAGATGGCAACCTGTCAGTGACCTCGCTGTGTGGTCTAATCCCTTCTGGCCCAGTAGTATTGACGGTCTTTAATGGTTAGGCCCTATAAAATAATTAAGATTGTCTTAACATTGATTTTGTGAAAGTATCGCTTTATATGAGGTACATAATTATAACTTAAAGGGTACTCGAACTTTTGAAATAAATCTACTTGCCAAAATGCAGTATGAGAAGAGAAACAAATGCTGGAAATTAAAAGTCAGATAAATAAAGAGGATTATGAATCGTATATTGAAAAGAATAAGACGCTGCATGAAATTCATCGCTAAATTTGACTGCATGCAGGATTACGATGATTTTATGATTAATTTTTAGTTATATTTATGTCTTTTCAGGAAGTAGGAAGAGCAAAAGCAGCAGCAAAAGCAGCAGCAGCAGCAGCAGCGGAAGCGGTAAGTATTTTGTTTAGTTCCACATAGTTTACAATATGATGTTTGGATTTAGGTATTTACATTGTTTATTATGGTACATATGGTAACATATTTACATGAGCTTGCATAAATTTGCATATATTATCAGATACACACCGATGTGTATGCAAGAAAACACATAGTAAAACTTGAATTTCTTATGTATTCTCTTGTTTTTCATTTCTTTTGTATTTTATTGTTTACATTTTTTCTGTTTTACATTATTTGTTGACAATGATATTGGATATGACAACCATGAAGACAAAGACAATTTACAATTATATGGTGAAATTGTATTGTATTTCACAAGTTTCATAACATGTCCATTCCATTACACACACACATATATAGTTGAAATGACTGTTTTTGGATGACCTTTGAGTTTGACTCTTATTGGTCATGCGACCTTGTAATGCTTGGTCAGATCTTCGCAAATTCAGTACCAAAAATTGCTCAAGACTTGAAGAAAAAAGTCATGAAAGTTAAACTTTATGTCTGCCGCGGTTCAAGAGAAGTCGCTTATTTACTACAGGGGGCAGGGTCAAATTGACCCCCCCCCCTCCCCGGTTTAAATAGGGTTAAAGTATGTCTATTTGAAAATATTATAGAACGAGAAGAAGGAAGGTAGTGTCATCGTATGATAATCTCATCATTTTGTACTACTGCCCCTTTACAATCTAAGCAAGGGCGTTGAAAAGCGTTAAGTGAATGACCTCCACACTAATGAATTTGTGCTTAATTCACGATCAGATATTTGAGTCGAGATGGACTTAGTGTATCAACGGTCGGGTCATACAAATCAAGATTGTTTTAACTCTGTTTTGAGATATTTTCGTTATAAAAATATAACCATGACAACCCTGGGTCTTGTATGATGACACTTAAAGGGCGCTCCAACCTTCAAAATAACTTCACTTGCATACAATCAAGAAAAGAAAAATATAACGATGATTTCATGAGAAAAAATTTCTGTTTTTATTTATATCTTGTCAGGCGAACGCAACAACAACGGCGGTTAGTATTTTTTTCAGTTCCACATAGTTTATAGCTTGATGTTTGAAACAGGGTTAAACGTATGTCTAAAGTAGGCCTATTCTAAATGATTATAGAACGAGAAGAAGGAAAGTAGCATCATGTTATGATAATCACTTCATTTCGTACTCAGTACTACCCCTTTTAAATTTAAGCAAGGAAGTTGAAAAGCGTTAGGTAAATGACCTCCACAAAAGTTAATTTGCATTTAAGTCACAGTAAGATATTTGAGTCGAGATGGACTAAGTGTATCAACGGTTTGGTCATATAAATCAAGATTGTTTTAACATTGACTTTGTGATATTTTTGTTATAAAACTATAACCACGACAACCTTGGTTCTAATATGATGATATGCAAAGGGCACTACAACCTTTAGAATAACTTCATTAGCTTAAAACCAAGAAAAGGAAGATATATTAACGATGATTGTATTACCATTTTTGTGTTTTATTTTGATCTCGCTAGGAAACGGTGACGATAGCAGCGGTTAGTATTTTGTTTAGTTCATTGAAGTTTACGATGTGACGTTTGAAACGAATCGAAACGAGTACCTGGTCTGTTTGCAATAATTATAGTACGAGAAAAAGAAGAGCAGTCTTTAAAGGTACTATGTCCCTGTTGCAGCCAACCTCAAATTCTGTAGAACTTTGCAGGAATTATGAATATGTCATGTATGTCCTATCTGTGAAATGTATACGTTAGCAGTGTCCTCATATTCAAATTATGCAAGGAAACCCATTTACTTGCTAGACTTCACTGTCAGACATTATTGAGTGACTGACTGGCTTTTTTTCTTCTTTGGTAATAACATACATGAAAAGAGGTGTAAAGGGTACGTGAGCATTTGTCTACATCAATAACCCACTTCTTGTGATGGCCAAGATTAAACTGATTGAATCTTTGCGCAGCATGAAACGTATGACCATTCGGTACAATATTGTCTGAAAATCAAGACTATTACTGTTGGGCTCTAAAGCCCTAAAGTCGATTTGACACTAATAGTCGTTATTTTCCCACTTCAAGACATTTTTAAGCCCCACCTTTTTTAGGGAAGTTCTAAATTAGTATTATCTTTCAAATGCAGTTGGAATTTAACTTTTTCATTTTTTGGGCCTGCAAATGGGACATAGTACCTTTAAATTTATTATATTCTCATCAATTTGAACTGCTTCCTCTTTAAAACTTAACCAAGCGAGTTAAATAGCAAAAAGTATATGGAATCTACACCATTTGCTATGTATTTGATTTTGTTTAGATCCATATAGTTTACAGAATGATGTTTGAAATAAGGTGAAACTAGGATTTAAAGTAGGTCTGTTTGAAAAGCTTATAGAACGAGAAAAAGTAAAGTATTGTGATGTTATGATATTTTCATCAATTCGTACTACCACCCTTCAAACAAAAGCAAGGGAGATGAAAGGCGAAAAGTGCCTGATATCTACACCAGTTAATGTGTATCTATTTTACAATAAGATATTTGAGTCGAGATGGACTAAGTATTAAGGCCCCACTGTCCTACGTGTAGCTACTTGCTCCCTCTATATAGAAAACTTCCCCAATAGGTGCCTGTTAATTGGTCCCCAATGAGATGGCCACCTGTCAGTGACCTCGCTGTGTGGTCTAATCCCTTCTGGACCAGTATTATTGACGGTCTTTAATGGTTAGGCCCTATAAAACAATCAAGATTGTTTTAACATTAATTTTGTGATAGTATCGCTTTATATGAGGTACATAATTATAACTTAAAGGGTACTCGAACTTTTGAAATAACTTTACTTGCCAAAATGCAGTATGAGAAGAGAAACAAATGCTGGAAATTAAAATCAGATAAAGAAAGAGGATTATGAATCGTATATTAAAAAGAATAAGACGCTGCATGAAATTCATCGCTAAATTTTACTGCATGCAGAATTACGATGATTTTATGATTAATGTTTAGTTATATTTATGTCTTTTCAGGAAGTAGGAAGAGCAAAAGCAGCAGCAAAAGCAGCAGCAGCAGCAGCGAAAGCGGTAAGTATTTTGTTTAGTTCCACATAGTTTACAATATGATGTTTGGATTTAGGTATTTACATTGTTTATTATGGTACATATGGTAACATATTTACATGAGCATGCATAAATTTGCATATATTATCAGATACACACCGATGTGTATGCAAGAAAACACATAGTATAACTTGAATTTCTTATGTATTCTGTTGTTTTTCATTTCTTTTGTATTTTATTGTTTGCATTTTTTATGTTTTGCATTATTTGTTGACAATGATATTAGATATAACAACCATGAAGACAAAGACAATTTACAATTATATGGTGAAATTGTATTGTATTTCACAAGTTTCATAACATGTCCATTCCATTACACACACATATATGGACAAATGACTGTTTTGGATGACCTTTGAGTTTGACTCTTATTGGTCATGCGACCTTGTAATGCTTGGTCAGATCTCAGGGGCGGATCTAGCTTTTTGCTAAGGGGGGGGTTGACCAAAATAATGACGATGCGGAGCATCGTCCACGAGCCGCGAAGCGGCGAGCCGATTTTTTTTGGGGTGTTTATTTGAACCCCGTAAGTGATGTTTTCCTGGCATCTATTAACACAATGGAGACCATAAAAAGCAGTGCATGATAACGTCTTTTTAAATCAAGTAACAGTTAAATACACAGTTATATCCAGAGTTATCATGTGTTTGGTTAAGTTACCTGATGAGTTGAATATCTTCTCACAATATTTGCACTTGAAAGGGTTTCTCTCCAGCGTGCGTTCTTTTTTCTTTCTTTTTTTCTTTCTTTTTTCCTTTTTTTTTCCTTTTTTTTTTTTGGGGGGGGGCCGCCCAAGGGGGGGGGGTTGCAACCCCCCCCCAACCCCCCTGGATCCGCCACTGGATCTTCGCAAATTCAGTACCAAAAATTGCTCAAGACTTGAAGAAAAAAGTCATGAAAGTTAAACTTTATGTCTGCCGCGGTTCCAGAGAAGTCGCTTATTTACTACAGGGGGCAGGGTCAAATTGACCCCCCCCCCCTCCCCGGTTTAAATAGGGTTAAAGTATGTCTATTTTGAAAATATTATAGAACGAGAAGAAGGAAGGTAGTGTCATCGTATGATAATCTCATCATTTTGTACTACTGCCCCTTTACAATCTAAGCAAGGGCGTTGAAAAGCGTTAAGTGAATGACCTCCACACTAATGAATTTGTGCTTAATTCACGATCAGATATTTGAGTCGAGATGGACTTAGTGTATCAACGGTCGGGTCATACAAATCAAGATTGTTTTAACTCTGTTTTGAGATATTTTCGTTATAAAAATATAACCATGACAACCCTGGGTCTTGTATAATGATACCTAAAGGGCGCTCCAACCTTCAAAATAACTTCACTTGCATACAATCAAGAAAAGGAAAATATAACGATGATTTCATGAGAAAAAATTTCTGTTTTTATTTATATCTTGTCAGGCGAACGCAACAACAACGGCGGTTAGTATTTTTTTCAGTTCCACATAGTTTACAGCATAATGTTTGAAACAGGGTAAAACGTATGTCTAAAGTAGGCCTATTCTAAATGATTATAGAACGAGAAGAAGGAAAGTAGCATCATGTTATGATAATCACTTCATTTCGTACTCAGTACTACCCATGGGCGTCAATCCTTACTTAATACCTATTGTTCAGGGGGGTGAATGAATAGATCATCCCCCCCCCCCTGAACAATAGATATCAATTGCAGATTTACGCCCATTTAAAAGGGGTAGTACTCAAGATTGTTTGAACATTGACTTTGTGATATTTCTGTTATAAAACTATAACCACGACAACCTTGGGTCTAACATGATGATATGCAAAGGGCACTACAACCTTTAGAATAACTTCATTGGCTTAAAACCAAGAAAAGGAAGATATATTAACGATGATTGTATTACCATTTTTGTGTTTTATTTTGATCTCGCTAGGAAACGGTGACGATAGCAGCGGTTAGTATTTTGTTTAGTTCATTGAAGTTTACGATGTGACGTTTGAAACGAATCGAAACGAGTACCTGGTCTGTTTGCAATAATTATAGTACGAGAAAAAGAAGAGCAGTCTTTAAAGGTACTATGTCCCTGTTGCAGCCAACCTCAAATTCTGTAGAACTTTGCAGGAATTATGAATATGTCATGTATGTCCTATCTGTGAAATGTATACGTTAGCAGTGTCCTCATATTCAAATTATGCAAGGAAACCCATTTACTTGCTAGACTTCACTGTCAGACATTATTGAGTGACTGACTGGCTTTTTTCTTCTTTGGTAATAACATACATGAAAAGAGGTGTAAAGGGTACGTGAGCATTTGTCTACATCAATAACCCACTTCTTGTGATGGCCAAGATTAAACTGATTGAATCTTTGCGCAGCATGAAACGTATGACCATTCGGTACAATATTGTCTGAAAATCAAGACTATTACTGTTGGGCTCTAAAGCCCTAAAGTCGATTTGACACTAATAGTCGTTATTTTCCCACTTCAAGACATTTTTAAGCCCCACCTTTTTTAGGGAAGTTCTAAATTAGTATTATCTTTCAAATGCAGTTGGAATTTAACTTTTTCATTTTTTGGGCCTGCAAATGGGACATAGTACCTTTAAATTTATTATATTCTCATCAATTTGAACTGCTTCCTCTTTAAAACTTAACCAAGCGAGTTAAATAGCAAAAAGTATATGGAATCTACACCATTTGCTATGTATTTGATTTTGTTTAGATCCATATAGTTTACAGAATGATGTTTGAAATAAGGTGAAACTAGGATTTAAAGTAGGTCTGTTTGAAAAGCTTATAGAACGAGAAAAAGTAAAGTATTGTGATGTTATGATATTTTCATCAATTCGTACTACCACCCTTCAAACAAAAGCAAGGGAGATGAAAGGCAAAAAGGGCCTGATATCTACACCAGTTAATGTGTATCTATTTTACAATAAGATATTTGAGTCGAGATGGACTAAGTATTAAGGCCCCACTGTCCTACGTGTAGCTACTTGCTCCCTCTATATAGAAAACTTCCCCAATAGGTGCCTGTTAATTGGTCCCCAATGAGATGGCAACCTGTCAGTGACCTCGCTGTGTGGTCTAATCCCTTCTGGACCAGTATTATTGACGGTCTTTAATGGATAGGCCCTATAAAACAATCAAGATTGTTTTAACATTAATTTTGTGATAGTATCGCTTTATATGAGGTACATAATTATAACTTAAAGGGTACTCGAACTTTTGAAATAACTTTACTTGCCAAATGGCAGTATGAGAAGAGAAACAAATGCTGGAAATTAAAATCAGATAAAGAAAGAGGATTATGAATCGTATATTAAAAAGAATAAGACGCTGCATGAAATTCATCGCTAAATTTTACTGCATGCAGGATTACGATGATTTTATGATTAATTTTTAGTTATATTTATGTCTTTTCAGGAAGTAGGAAGAGCAAAAGCAGCAGCAAAAGCAGCAGCAGCAGCAGCGAAAGCGGTAAGTATTTTGTTTAGTTCCACATAGTTTACAATATGATGTTTGGATTTAGGTATTTACATTGTTTATTATGGTACATATGGTAACATATTTACATGAGCATGCATAAATTTGCATATATTATCAGATACACACCGATGTGTATGCAAGAAAACACATAGTATAACTTAAATTTCTTATGTATTCTCTTGTTTTTCATTTCTTTTGTATTTTATTGTTTACATTTTTTATGTTTTGCATTATTTTTTGACAATGATATTAGATTTAACAACCATGAAGACAAAGACAATTTACAATTATATGGTGAAATTGTATTGTATTTCACAAGTTTCATAACATGTCCATTCCATTACACACACATATATGGACAAATGACTGTTTTTGGATGACCTTTGAGTTTGACTCTTATTGGTCATGCGACCTTGTAATGCTTGGTCAGATCTTCGCAAATTCAGTACCAAAAATTGCTCAAGACTTGAAGAAAAAAGTCATGAAAGTTAAACTTCATGTCTGCCGCGGTTCCAGAGAAGTCGCTTATTTACTACAGGGGGCAGGGTCAAATTGACCCCCCCCCCCCCCCGGTTTAAATAGGGTTAAAGTATGTCTATTTGAAAATATTATAGAACGAGAAGAAGGAAGGTAGTGTCATCGTATGATAATCTCATCATTTTGTACTACTGCCCCTTTACAATCTAAGCAAGGGCGTTGAAAAGCGTTAAGTGAATGACCTCCACACTAATGAATTTGTGCTTAATTCACGATCAGATATTTGAGTCGAGATGGACTTAGTGTATCAACGGTCGGGTCATACAAATCAAGATTGTTTTAACTCTGTTTTGAGATATTTTCGTTATAAAAATATAACCATGACAACCCTGGGTCTTGTATGATGATACTTAAAGGGCGCTCCAACCTTCAAAATAACTTCACTTGCATACAATCAAGAAAAGGAAAATATAACGATGATTTCATGAGAAAAAAATTCTGTTTTTATTTATATCTTGTCAGGCGAACGCAACAACAACGGCGGTTAGTATTTTTTTTCAGTTCCACATAGTTTACAGCATGATGTTTGAAACAGGGTAAAACGTATGTCTAAAGTAGGCCTATTCGAAATGACTATAGAACGAGAAGAAGGAAAGTAGCATCATGTTATGATAATCACTTCATTTCGTACTCAGTACTACCCATGGGCGTCAATCCTTACTTAATACCTATTGTTCAGGGGGGTGAATGAATAGATCATCCCCCCCCCCCTGAACAATAGATATCAATTGCAGATTTACGCCCATTTAAAAGGGATAGTACTCAAGATTGTTTGAACATTGACTTTGTGATATTTCTGTTATAAAACTATAACCACGACAACCTTGGGTCTAACATGATGATATGCAAAGGGCACTACAACCTTTAGAATAACTTCATTGGCTTAAAACCAAGAAAAGGAAGATATATTAACGATGATTGTATTACCATTTTTGTGTTTTATTTTGATCTCGCTAGGAAACGGTGACGATAGCAGCGGTTAGTATTTTGTTTAGTTCATTGAAGTTTACGATGTGACGTTTGAAACGAATCGAAACGAGTACCTGGTCTGTTTGCAATAATTATAGTACGAGAAAAAGAAGAGCAGTCTTTAAAGGTACTATGTCCCTGTTGCAGCCAACCTCAAATTCTGTAGAACTTTGCAGGAATTATGAATATGTCATGTATGTCCTATCTGTGAAATGTATACGTTAGCAGTGTCCTCATATTCAAATTATGCAAGGAAACCCATTTACTTGCTAGACTTCACTGTCAGACATTATTGAGTGACTGACTGGCTTTTTTTCTTCTTTGGTAATAACATACATGAAAAGAGTTGTAAAGGGTACATGAGCATTTGTCTACATCAATAACCCACTTCTTGTGATGGCCAAGATTAAACTGATTGAATCTTTGCGCAGCATGAAACGTATGACCATTCGGTACAATATTGTCTGAAAATCAAGGCTATTACTTTTGGGCTCGAAAGCCCTAAAGTCGATTTGACACTAATAGTCGTTATTTTCCCACTTCAAGACATTTTCAAGCCCCACCTTTTTAAGGGAAGTTCTAAATTAGTATTATCTTTCAAATGCAGTTGGAATTTAACTTTTTCATTTTTTGGGCCTGCAAATGGGACATAGTACCTTTAAATTTATTATATTCTCATCAATTTGAACTGCTTCCTCTTTAAAACTTAACCAAGCGAGTTAAATAGCAAAAAGTATATGGAATCTACACCATTTGCTATGTATTTGATTTTGTTTAGATCCATATAGTTTACAGAATGATGTTTGAAATAAGGTGAAACTAGGATTTAAAGTAGGTCTGTTTGAAAAGCTTATAGAACGAGAAAAAGTAAAGTACTGTGATGTTATGATATTTTCATCAATTCGTACTACCACCCTTCAAACAAAAGCAAGGGAGATGAAAGGCGAAAAGTACCTGATATCTACACCAGCTAATGTGTATCTATTTTACAATATGATATTTGAGTCGAGATGGACTTAGTATTAGGGACTTTTAGATTGAGTGGACGAGAACACGACGAACGCCGACTGATCATGCGTGTCAACGTACTCAACTGCCCATGTTGACTACGATTAGAAATCTTGGATTGCACTCGACGATAAACATGCATGCAGGAAGTAACACTATGAACATGACGGACAAAAGAACATCCCTTCACTGCTATTATGTAAAAATGTGTAGAACAGGTGAATATGTATGTGACACCTGTTCTACACATTTTTACATAATAGCAGGGAAGGGATCGATGTCCCTTTGTCTACCTGAGGAACTGTATATTTTATGCGCACGCGGCATACTAGTACCGTACGAGATTTAGGAAAATCAAGGTTGACGCAATATCGATCGCCGACTGAAACGACGTGACACATGCGCAGTGCCTTAAAATGACGTCACACGTTGCAGTGAAAGCTGTCGACGTGCAAATCTAAAAGTCCCTATTAAGGCCCCACTGTCCTACGTGTAGCTACTTGCTCCCTCTATATAGAAAACTTCCCCAATAGGTGCCTGTTAATTGGTCCCCAATGAGATGGCCACCTGTCAGTGACCTCGCTGTGTGGTCTAATCCCTTCTGGACCAGTATTATTGACGGTCTTTAATGGTTAGGCCCTATAAAATAATCAAGATTGTTTTAACATTGATTTTGTGATAGTATCGCTTTATATGAGGTACATAATTATAACTTAAAGGGTACTCGAACTTTTGAAAAATAACTTTACTTGCCAAAATGCAGTATGAGAAGAGAAACAAATGCTGGAAATTAAAAATCAGATAAAGAAAGAGGATTATGAATCGTATATTGAAAAGAATAAGACGCTGCATGAAATTCATCGCTAAATTTTACTGCATGCAGGATTACGATGATTTTATGATTAATTTTTAGTTATATTTATGTCTTTTCAGGAAGTAGGAAGAGCAAAAGCAGCAGCAAAAGCAGCAGCAGCAGCAGCGAAAGCGGTAAGTATTTTGTTTAGTTCTACATAGTTTACAATATGATGTTTGGATTTAGGTATTTACATTGTTTATTATGGTACATATGGTAACATATTTACATGAGCATGCATACATTCGCATATATTATCAGATACACACCGATGTGTATGCAAGAAAACACATAAAATATATAAAAATATAACCATGACAACCCTTGGTCTTGTATAATGATACCTAAAGGGCGCTCCAACCTTCAAAATAACTTCACTTGCATACAATCAAGAAAAGGAAAATATAACGATGATTTCATGAGAAATTTTTTTTTCTGTTTTTATTTATATCTTGTCAGGCGAACGCAACAACAACGGCGGTAAGTATTTTTTTCAGTTCCACATAGTTTACAGCATGATGTTTGAAACAGGGTAAAACGTATGTCTAAAGTAGGCCTATTCGAAATGACTATAGAACGAGAAGAAGGAAAGTAGCATCATGTTATGATAATCACTTCATTTCGTACTCAGTACTACCCCTTTTAAATTTAAGCAAGGAAGTTGAAAAGCGTTAGGTAAATGACCTCCACAAAAGTTAATTTGCATTTAATTCACAGTAAGATATTTGAGTCGAGATGGACTAAGTGTATCAACGGTTTGGTCATATAAATCAAGATTGTTTTAACATTGACTTTGTGATATTTTTGTTATAAAACTATAACCACGACAACCTTGGTTCTAATATGATGATATGCAAAGGGCACTACAACCTTTAGAATAACTTCATTGGCTTAAAACCAAGAAAAGGAAGATATATTAACGATGATTGTATTACCATTTTTGTGTTTTATTTTGATCTCGCTAGGAAACGGTGACGATAGCAGCGGTTAGTATTTTGTTTAGTTCATTGAAGTTTACGATGTGACGTTTGAAACGAATCGAAACGAGTACCTGGGGGGTGTTTCACAAAGATTCTAAGTAGAACTTAACTGTAAGTTGGACTTAAAAATTATGGAAAGCCATTAGCATCTTTGAAAATATTTGGTAAAAATATTTTTGAAAGGCATAAAATGTTTATTCAAATCATTCATATTTTCTGTCATTAAGGAAATTTCATATTCTTGTTGTGGAATTTATAAAATGTCTAAAATACTTGAATTTCTGCTTTTGAGTATATTTCATTTTAAGGCTCCAATGGCTGTCCATAATTTTTAAGTCAAACTTAGTGTTAAGTTCTACCTAGGATCTTTGTGAAACACCCCCCTGGTCTGTTTGCAATAATTATAGTACGAGAAAAAGAAGAGCAGTCTTTAAAGGTACTATGTCCCTGTTGCAGCCAACCTCAAATTCTGTAGAACTTTGCAGGAATTATGAATATGTCATGTATGTCCTATCTGTGAAATGTATACGTTAGCAGTGTCCTCATATTCAAATTATGCAAGGAAACCCATTTACTTGCTAGACTTCACTGTCAGACATTATTGAGTGACTGACTGGCTTTTTTCTTCTTTGGTAATAACATACATGAAAAGAGTTGTAAAGGGTACATGAGCATTTGTCTACATCAATAACCCACTTCTTGTGATGGCCAAGATTAAACTGATTGAATCTTTGCGCAGCATGAAACGTATGACCATTCGGTACAATATTGTCTGAAAATCAAGGCTATTACTTTTGGGCTCTAAAGCCCTAAAGTCGATTTGACACTAATAGTCGTTATTTTCCCACTTCAAGACATTTTCAAGCCCCACCTTTTTAAGGGAAGTTCTAAATTAGTATTATCTTTCAAATGCAGTTGGAATTTAACTTTTTCATTTTTTGGGCCTGCAAATGGGACATAGTACCTTTAAATTTATTATATTCTCATCAATTTGAACTGCTTCCTCTTTAAAACTTAACCAAGCGAGTTAAATAGCAAAAAGTATATGGAATCTACACCATTTGCTATGTATTTGATTTTGTTTAGATCCATATAGTTTACAGAATGATGTTTGAAATAAGGTGAAACTAGGATTTAAAGTAGGTCTGTTTGAAAAGCTTATAGAACGAGAAAAAGTAAAGTACTGTGATGTTATGATATTTTCATCAATTCGTACCTCACCCTTCAAACAAAAGCAAGGGAGATGAAAGGCGAAAAGTGCCTGATATCTACACCAGTTAATGTGTATCTATTTTACATTATGATATTTGAGTCGAGATGGACTAAGTATTAAGGCCCCACTGTCCTACTTGTAGCTATTTGCTCCCTCTATAAAATAATCAAGATTGTTTTAACATTGATTTTGTGATAGTATCGCTTTATATTAGGTACATAATTATAACTTAAAGGGTATTCGAACCTTTGAAATAACTTTACTTGCAAAAATGCAGTATGAGAAGAGACACAAATGCTGGAAATTAAAAATCAGATAAATAAAGAGGATTATTAATCGTATATTGAAAAGAATAAGACGCTGCATGAAATTCATCGCTAAATTTGACTGCATGCAGGATTACGATGATTTTATGATTAATTTTTAGTTATATTTATGTCTTTTCAGGAAGTAGGAAGAGCAAAAGCAGCAGCAAAAGCAGCAGCAGCAGCAGCGAAAGCGGTAAGTATTTTGTTTAGTTCTACATAGTTTACAATATGATGTTTGGATTTAGGTATTTACATTGTTTATTATGGTACATATGGTAACATATTTACATGAGCATGCATACATTTGCATATATTATCAGATACACACCGATGTGTATGCAAGAAAACACATAGTATAACTTGAATTTCTTATGTATTCTCTTGTTTTTCATTTCTTTTGTATTTTATTGTTTACATTTTTTATTTTTTGCATTATTTTTTGACAATGATATTAGATATGACAACCATGAAGACAAAGACAATTTACAATTATATGGTGAAATTGTATTGTATTTCACAAGTTTCATAACATGTCCATTCCATTACAGACACATATATGGACAAATGACTGTTTTTGGATGACCTTTGAGTTTGACTCTTATTGGTCATGCGACCTTGTAATGCTTGGTCAGATCTTCGCAAATTCAGTACCAAAAATTGCTCAAGACTTGAAGAAAAAAGTCATGAAAGTTAAACTTTATGTCTGCCGCGGTTCCGGAGAAGTCGCTTATTTACTACAGGGGGCAGGGTCTAATTGACCCCCCCCCCCTCTCCCCGGTTTAAATAGGGTTAAAGTATGTCTATTTGAAAATATTATAGAACGAGAAGAAGGAAGGTAGTGTCATCGTATGATAATCTCATCATTTTGTACTACTGCCCCTTTACAATCTAAGCAAGGGCGTTGAAAAGCGTTAAGTGAATGACCTCCACACTAATGAATTTGTGCTTAATTCACAATCAGATATTTGAGTCTAGATGGACTTAGTGTATCAACGGTCGGGTCATACAAATCAAGATTGTTTTAACTCTGTTTTGAGATATTTTCGTTATAAAAATATAACCATGACAACCCTGGGTCTTGTATGATGATACTTAAAGGGCGCTCCAACCTTCAAAATAACTTCACTTGCATACAATCAAGAAAAGAAAAATATAACGATGATTTCATGAGAAAAAATTTCTGTTTTTATTTATATCTTGTCAGGCGAACGCAACAACAACGGCGGTTAGTATTTTTTTCAGTTCCACATAGTTTATAGCTTGATGTTTGAAACAGGGTAAAACGTATGTCTAAAGTAGGCCTATTCGAAATGACTATAGAACGAGAAGAAGGAAAGTAGCATCATGTTATGATAATCACTTCATTTCGTACTCAGTACTACCCATGGGCGTCAATCCTTACTTAATACCTATTGTTCAGGGGGGTGAATGAATAGATCATCCCCCCCCTGAACAATAGATATCAATTGCAGATTTACGCCCATTTAAAAGGGGTAGTACTCAAGATTGTTTGAACATTGACTTTGTGATATTTCTGTTATAAAACTATAACCACGACAACCTTGGGTCTAACATGATGATATGCAAAGGGCACTACAACCTTTAGAATAACTTTATTTGCTTAAAACCAAGAAAAAGAAGATATATTATCGATGATTGTAAACGAGGTGAAACAGTACGTAAAGTAGGTCTTTTTGCACAGCTTATAGAACGAGAAAAAGGAATGCAGGATTGTGATCTATTCTGATAGGTTTGTAAAATTCACCTTTTCATCTTCATCGTGTTTTTTCCCCTCATGCTAGTACCTGACGTTCCAAATCTCTATGCTTTTATACATACTTTAAAGATGATGAAAAATGATCACCTAACACATGCATGACCATCGCAGAAAAATCTTCTCTCTCTCTCTCTCTTTCTCTCTCTCTCTCTCTCTCTCTCTCTCTCTTTCTCTCCCCCTCTCTCTCTCTCTCTCTCTCTTTCTCTTTCTCTCCTTTCTTTGTTTTGAGAGGATCTCGATAAGTACTTTGCATGGCACGAAGTGTACCCATGCACTTATGCACCTTTGCACCTAATTTAATACTCAAAACCTTTAGTACTCGCAAATATCAATAAACCGATGGATGTGGCCGTTGGTCTTAAGTTTATGAGATGTCTCCTTTGTTTTTAAGTCAGTTTGGAAAGGTGCCCTAAAAGGATTGCGCTTCATAATTATAGCCCTTAACTTTGAGACCTGACGACAAAGAACTGAAAAGGTGGATAAAACTGTTATCCCCTCTGATTCTTATCCTTCCATTCTCCTCTCTTCATTGACGTCGCCAAACTTGATTTATCCTTGTTTTCTATATCTTTCTAGACCCTGCTCCTGCTCCTGGTTCTTCTCCTCGTGAGTTTTCTTTGTTTGTAATCCTATTTCAGTTGAATTTATTATATTCTTAAACAAGTGAAAGTTTGATTGATCGACATCCCATTGCTACATATTTTGGCAGGCTATTTTAATATAAGCCTATCATATATTATCTAGCAAAAGAGTAATTCAACCCTTAAAAAAAATATAGGCCTATATAAAAAAATAAAAAAATCCTAAAAATGTAATGCGGTACACCCGTTATCATGGCCAGTATATTGTACCTATAAACGTATCAGAGAATGCCTACTTTACATATAAATATTCAAATGTTTTGTTTGGGCTGTGTATATTTGTATGGTGTGCCTCCCATCATCACCCCCCCCCCCCCCCATACACTTCAATGCCATTTATGCCAAGAACATGCACTTAAAAGGCAGACCAATATCTCGTTTCCTCCACCAGCCTCGGAATACGTGGAGTGTGCTACTGGACCACAACTCATTGCCCAGGTTGATCCTCCCTTCACTCTATCTTTCAACATCAACTCCAACTCGGATGTATTTGTCATCACCTTCTGTCCTACTTCGGTCCTCTCTACCGAAAGCTGCTACACCATGAGTAAGAGAAGCAATATTTGCGGGGAAAATGATATCAGTCTAGCACATGTGCATAAAAGCCTACAGATATTGGAACTATACTACTTTACTGGAAGAAATTCAATAAAAACATACTTGGATGATGTTTGACTGAAACATATGAATATTATGATACACTTAAGGCCACAGCCGTGAATGTCAGAAAAAGCGGCCAAAATATTCGTTATCACGAAATTCGGCAACATCGACTTGATATTTTAAGTTCCACCGGTCTCCATGATCCCTAACTTAATGTTTACCCCATGGAATAATTAATATACTTTCGGGAATCACAAAGGTCCTTCAAATCATACCCGTTCGGTAGTAAGTGGGGAGGTTTTTTTTTAAATTAATTTATTTATCATTTATTTATTAACATTTATTTATTAACACACCGGACGTACGAAATTAAGTAAAAGGGTCTGAAAATCAGACGATTACTAGGTGATTGCAATCGCTTAAGTCGATTCGACAACTGATGGTCGTTATTTTCCCCTTTCGAGGGAAGTTCTAAACTAGTATCGTCTTTCAAATACCGTTGGAAATTAACCTTTCCATTTTTTGGCCTGCAAATGGGACAAAGTACCTTTAAAGGAAGATGCGTTATTAGTGTTTACACATTCCCCATAGGCCAGCCTTTACAACGTAAATGCTTCAATGATCAATTGACCCGATATTGTTCCTTTCTGGCTGTAGCTGTTGCTGTGGTTGTTGGCGATGATTCCGTTGTATTTTGGTGCTTACTTTTTATTCATTTATGTTTTTTATATCCAATATAAAGGGTTGAGCTCCATCGGCCCCTCAGTTATCAACCAAGGCCCGAATGCAGCGTGTGACCCTGTCGAGCTTCCGTTCATCAGAAAGAACAAGAAAGAACGCATCACCGTCGTCATCAACAGCAAACGGTGTACAGTCAGCAATAACCGCGGTGGTACGCTTCTCATCGCAGATCCCGATGAAGGCCGCTTCCGGTTTGTCTACGGCTCTTGCCTTAATGGAAACAGGTGCCGAATCCGTAAGTTATCCTGGTTGTCGCCAACAAGAAATACCATAGGTGTACAAGGCGGAGACTCAATAGGCCGCAGTCGATCATCCCCATGACGATTTATTTTACCAATATTCGGGCAACTTCCACCTCAGATTTGTTTAAGGAGATATACATTTTAAAGTTTCTTGGCCTGATGTAATTTGATGATAAAATCAAAATGTAATAATAAAACGAAGGTGAATTTTCCTTTCTCGTTATTTTCGCTGGCTTGGAAAATACATAAACTGAATACTTACGCTGATAATAATTGTTATTATTTAATGTTGACATAGAAATGTCGAATATTGTCGTAATCTAATTTAACATTGAAATATCACATTGTGAGCCAGAGAAGGGTTGCTCAGTAGAAACAAGCATAGCCCAATACGTTGTTAAAACATAATCGAAAAGGTTGGAAATTCAATCCGTTCGTAATGATCAATTTGGTCTATTAAGTAAACCCTTGTAAATCCTAATTAAAAGCGAATTCAGACATCCCTTATCTTAGAAACATTCCCCAATTTTTTTTTTTTTTAAAGATTTTCAGATATAAAAAAAACGGATAATGATAACAGTAGTTGTCTCAGGGGCGGCACAAGTGGTAAATGCCCCCCCCCCGCCCCCCCCCCCCTCCTTCGGCAAAATCAAACTCTTCGTTCTGCTTGTCAAAACTATCCGTGATCCATGATCACAGGAGAGGAGTACTCATTAGATTACCACCACGGCCTAGCTACGGGGAGGGGCACATAGACCCTACCCCTAATTGATAGATTTGATCAGTATCAGTAATCCGGCTAATGACCGGCTTATCCCTACCCCACCCCCATCCAGTGCCCCCGTCATGGCTTGATCCACGCTATACCACTGTATGAGGATGGTTATATTTAGGTGCCGTATCATTACAATACAAGAAAGTAATATCATAATCATATACATGTAATTGATCATGGATAATACAATCTATATTGTGCGCAGGAATAATATGCTGACTAATTTCAATTACCTTTAAAAGTATGATAATCCCTCTCTCTTTCTCTAATCTTTCTCTCTCCTTTTCTCTCCCTTTTCGTTGCAGATTGTGTGCGTTAATAACTCGAATGGAGCACCACGCACTGCACATGGCAGATGCCTTAAGTAGAAAGTAGCACGATATAGATCTACGCAGTCATTATTCCGCAATCCTCCTCACTAATATATCAAGATTATAAACCCTTTATTCCCAAACATGAATACTAGTCACAAAATTACGTATAAGAGGTGGCCGTTTTTCTTTTTGATGAATAAATCGTAATATTTGTCTATTAACACAACAATCTGCCTCACTCCTATAGTATAACAGAATTTTCGTTTCCCCTATTGGAATTATTGGAAACAGATAGCGTTCCATACAACTATATAAAAATGGCATGTTCAACGTTTTCTTTTCATAATCAAATAATACAGTTCCGAACATAAATGACTACATTACCAGACAGTCGTCTTTTTCTTCTAAAATTACAATTATTGTATAATACAAAGCGAAACCGGCACTACGGACCGTTACATTTTTGTTTTTAGTATTCTACTTTAATAGATTTGAATTATTATTAGGCATTAACTTGTTGCAGCACTAATCGGTGGATGACTTGTTATACTGTATAATATTATCGTCACCTGTCAAGCCACCAAATGAGGATTAATAAAAGAATGTCATTGCGTAGAAATTTATCGTTTCAGTCGCATTTTTTCTCTCTAAAATGATTCAGTGAATAAATTGAATGGCGTGTGATGTGTTTTGCAACGTTCTATTTTTTCTCATTTTATTAGCTGTTTGCAAACGGTCTTTCGAGATACAATGATAATTAACAAAAAATTGGTAATATACGTTTTAAAAAGCGTACAAAATTATGCGAATAGGCCAATACATGTACCTATTGCGCATCAAAAGCTTCGGATTTACTTCAAACTACAACATTTTAGTAAAATGAAAATTCGTGATTTTACTTTTGATTTAAAAGTACGTATTTAACGATAATGATTTCCTAAGATACATTCAATGAAGGAAAACTTAGAAAATAATGTGGGGTTCTGATGATGTGATTTCAAAATGAATTAAACTGTTTCGAAGCAACTAAGAACAGTGGCGGATCCAGGGGGCACAGGGGGCACGTGCCCCCCCCCCCCCGGCCAAAAAAAAAAGAAAAGGAGAAAAAGGAGGGGGAAAGAAAAAGGGGAGGAAAAAGAAAAAAAAAACGGAAGAGAGAAAGAAGAAGAAAAGAGGAAGGAAAGAAAAGGTGAGAGGAGAAAAAGGAGGGGAAAGGGAAAGAGAGAGGAGAGAAAAGGCGGAAAAAGAAGAGAGGCGGAAAGACGGAGGAGAGAAAAGGGGGAAAAGGAGAATAATGAGAAGGGAAAAGAAAGAAAGGGGGATGAAGAAGGTGTTTTTTTTTACCGGTTAAGGGGCGGGGGGGGGGCATGCAATTTTAAGTCGAACATGACTAATACCAAAGATTTTATCTCCTTTATAACTTATAACTTATAATTTAGTCTTGAATTAATTTTCCGATATACCTATTCTAAGTGCTCTTTCAGCATGCAGATTGTCCCCGCCATTAATCCTGCCACAGTTGCTGGTTTCATTGTAATATTATTTTCTGTCATCCCTGTGGCCGCGAAGTTTCTATCCGTTTCGCAAGCACTTTTTTTCCATCGCCTACATGTAATGCTTATTGCTTCCAGTTTGCAAAAGACCCCAGTGGCGGATCTGTGGGGGATGGGGGAGGGGTTAGGGGTTTAACCCCCCCCCCCCCTGGGCTGCCAAGTGAAAATGTGATGTAAATAGAAAAACGCCATCATGTGTCCAGACCCACACAGTATCCGCATCGTCATCGGGTCAAACCCCCCTTAAACTGTTACTTGATTTATAAAGACGTTATCGTGCACTGCTTTTTATGGTCTCCATTGTGTTAGTAGATGCCAGGAAAACATCACTTACGGGGGTTCAAAATAGCAACAACAAAAATCGCCTCGCCGCTATGCGGCTCGGATTTTGAGGCTCGTGGACGATGCTCCGCATCGTCATTGGATCGAACCCCTCTCAAACTGTTACTTGATTTAGAAAGACGTTATCATGAAATGCTGTTTATGGTCTCCATTGTGTTAGTATATAGATACCAGGAAAACATCACCTACGGGGGTTCAAAATAGCCCCCCCAAAATCGCCTCGCCGATACGCGGCTCGTGGACAATGCTCTGCATCGTCTTTGGGTCGACCCCCCTTAAACTGTTACTTGATTTAAAAAGACGTAATTATCATGCACTGCTTTTTATGGTCTCCATTGTGTCAGTAGATGCCAGGAAAACATCACTTACGGGGGTTCAAAAAAGCAACAACAACAAAAAATCGCCTCGCCGCTTCACGTCTCGTGGACGATGTTCCGTGTCGTCATTGGGTCAACCCCCCCCCCCCTCCCCCCTAATTAGCAAAAAGCCAGATCCCATCACCCGCCCCTGGATCCCTACTCTTTGAGGGGGTAGGAAAAGCAATTTTACGTCATATTACTCCAGGAAGTGCCTGAAAATGCATCTAATGTGGTTCTAAAATTGCAAATGCTTCCTACTCAGGGAGGGGGTTCTGACCCCCTCCCAGACCCACCCCTGCTTGGTCGCTCCGCTCCCTCGCCGCTGACGTCTCGCTCCATCGTTTTTCATATATTTCATCCCATGCGATTTTGTGTCCCCCCCCCCCCCCGGTAAGAAATTCCTGGATCCGCCACTGAAGAAAGGTTGATATATGTTTGCATTTTTCTTGTTTTATAATACATGTACATGATCTTCAACAAAATGGGGATGTCACCAACTTCAATACAAAAGAACGTGAGTAAGGAAGGGAAAACTAATACCACAAATGATCAAGATTGACAGCCATACAAGCTTAAACAAGATATAACATATCGTTATTGACATTAAATAGTACATATCCCGAATACTCACCGCAATAAGGAATAGAAAGAAAGAGACGATTATAAATTGTAACTCGATTGAGGAGCAACGATTATTTTTAGAGCTCCATCTACGGCAGCAGTTCGAAAGTATCGGTCCATTCGTCTGCGCTGACTTCAGCTCCTTGGAAATTCGTTGTTCACCACAAATGCACAAAATGTGTGTTTTTTTTTTAAAGAGTTTCAGTTTACCAATTTACAGCGCCCCATAAATTATGTTTAATCTATCTTGTCTATCCCCTCCCCCGTTCTCTCTGTATATGTCTGTCAGTCAATCTTTGTCCCCCCCCCCCCTCTCTCTCTCTCTCTCTCTCTCCGAGTCTCCCTCACTCTCTCTCTCTCTCTCTCTCTCTCTCTCTCTCTCTATCTCTCTTGCTCCTTCTCCTCTTGCATTACTTAAACAAAATATCTGCCCTCAGTCTCCAATCAATCCTCCTCTCTTTTACTCTCCCTGTTTCTATTTCTCCATCGTCTCGAGTAAGGATACATGTTTGTTGAGTTTATTTCATTTTTTCCTCATAAATTTGGATCGAAACCAAATTGAAGGAACCATTATTAGTTGTCTAACAAGTCCATTCTTCCGAACTTAGGTTTCAAGTTCTCTTTATAATTGCACGGCACTGTAGCAGTGTAAACATGGCACCTTTTCTTTAACAAAACTCTTTAATCCTTTAAAGAGCTACCGATTTTTAAGAGGAGTACCTATTACGTCATAAGACTTCCCACTTAACACACTAAAGAGATGGCGGTAAACATTTTCGTGAAAGAGAAAAGGGATCTGAAGTTGAAACACTCCCACGGTCAAATGATGATGCACGTTTGTGCACTCTTGTAATAAATAGTAACCCATCTTGTGAAAAATGACAAAACATGTAGCCAGATATTTGCAGTTCGTATGAACTTGACTTGACTTGACTTGAAGAAAAATGAGAAAGAATTAAAGAAAGATTCTTAGAGAGTTCCATCTTTCCTATATGTTGAGCAAAAGCCTAGTGATTTTTATTCCTGATAGCCTACTTACCACATCGTTAGTAGAACTACTGAAACTTATAAATCTGTTTTTAGATGATATGCCACTAAATAAATTACAAATTACAATAAATTACAACCACGGTGAACTCTCTCTCTCTCTCTCTCTCTCTCTCTCTCTCTCTCTCTCTCTCACTCTCTCTCTCTCTCTCTCTCTCTCTCTTTCTCTCTCTCTCTCTCTCCCTCTCTCTCTCTCTCTCTCTCTCTCTCACCAGTTTTAGCACTGGAGTAATTTAGGTAATTTATTCCTTGCTGCCCATCGTTCTTAAGTAAAGTCTATCTAGATGCGATTTTAAAAAAAAGAGGATCTCAAAAACCTTAAAATTAAGAAGTAAAAAAATATCAAAATCGTTGCCCTCAGGGTTTTTTATCAACTCTCTCCAACCCCCCCCCCCCCCTTGCAAGTATTTTCAAGCAACTGCATCAATCACTAACAATACGCAATATAATACACAGTGCGACCCAACAAAAAACAAAAGACTTAACTACCGTTTAGTTGACGATTACGCATGGATGATTGTCAATGTAACGGAGTTAAGTCTTTTGTCAATTCTAAGCTATACAATATGTGTCATTTATTAATTATAATTGTGATTAAGTTATGATAAAAAACCTCGACAATTCTCGGTTTGTTTTTTCTGGGTCGCACTGTATAATGAGAGAATAATGGTTTGAAAGTTCCCATTGCTATCCTCCCATTTTTGATAGATGTTGCATTGTATTAATTTTGTTTCTAGATGAGTTTTATATTTTTTTTTTTATATATGTGCGCTTTTTTTTTTTTTTTTTTTTGGGGGGGGGGGGGGGTGTTTATTTTGTGTATTTTGTTAAGTTTCTAGAGTTTTCATAGCACCGGGTGCCCATTGTATTTATCTGAACGCGGCCGTTTTTATCTGTAATTGACTTTCTCGACTCAGAATTAGGGAGTATATTTTTAATTAATTGACAAATAAATCAATGAATAAACATTTTGTCTTTGGATAAGATATTTGATTTCAATATTTCTGTTATCGTTGCCACAATTTTATATCATGCTGTACCTCCTTTCTGATCATGATAAATCTGTACCAGCTAGATATCTAAAGGGGTGGGGAACATTTAAAGCCATTTCGGACAATTTCTACTTTCTTGGGGACCAGTTCTGAAAAAGGAGAAAAAAGACAACGAACACAGCTCACCGACCTCTATGCCGGGGGGGGGGGGGGGTGCCGCTCTAATGGCTCACTTTTTCACAAAAAATCCCTGAACATGGAAACATGGGTCCCGTTTTTAACAAAAAATATCCCTAAAAATGGGTAAGGGACCCACGAGGCTTTTGACGGCAACCCCCCCCCCCCCCCCCCCACCCCCCCCCCCCCTCCCCCGGCGTAGCTCTGTTTAACTTAGCAGTAATCCCTAACGTTGTGAAGCAGTCATCACGGATCTATAAAAGACATTCTCATACAAATCCCTTAGTCCACGCGTTGATCCCGATTAGTCCAATTTCGTACTTTGATTAGTCTACAGGCTCAGGCACACTTACATGTATACTACGATCCCTCCCCATGCCCCTCTATCTCTTCCTTCCCTTCCGTCCGTACGTAAACAAAAGCAGTTTCGGGGAATAACTTTTCGGAGAACGAGATTTCGTTTTTCTCCTTTAAATATCCTCCTACAACGGCGACTTGTGATTTGACCTGTTCGCAATTGTATTTATG